CGAGATGGAGGTGGGAGAACAGAGAGAACACAAAGATAGAGAGAGAGAGCGAGAGAGAGAGAGAGAGAGAGAGGTGGGAGTACAAAGCGAACACAACGAGATGGAGGTGGGAGAATAGAGAGAACCTAAAGAGAGAGAGAGAGAGGGATAGAGGTGGGAGAACAGAGAGAACACAAAGATAGAGAGAGAGAGAGAGAGAGAGAGAGAGAGAGGTGGGAGTACAGAGCGAACACAACGAGATGGAGATGGGAGAATAGAGAGAACCCAAAGAGAGAGAGAGGTGGGAGAACAGAGCGAACACAACGAGAGAAAACATGAAGAAAAAAGGGGAAAAAAAGAAGAGAGAAGATGAATAACTCAGATAGTGCGGTATGGTATGTAATCCAGTAGGATTTTTTTGCAAAAGTTGATTTTTTTTTGCCGTTTTGGCTTCAAAAGGGTCCCAATTGGCCCAAAATGATGGGGTTCAAATTTTCAGACCCCTCCTTCACTTTCTGTAGGGTCCATATTGGGCGTCAAAACGGCTTATATGAACCCCATCAAATTTGAACCCCATCAATTTCTGATAGCTTGGACCCCAATGAATCCAAAAATGCAAAAAAAAAAATCAATCAATTTTGGCACAAAAGCCCTACGGGAGCTGTTTCAGTGACATACCGTACCACACTATGAGGGAAGGCAGAGGAGGGATAAGCCTAGGGAGATAAGGGTAGATGGGGAAGAGAGATGAATGGAGGGGATGAATAGAAACTGAGGAGGTATATTATAAATGTAATTTATAGTTACAAACAGCTACCTTACTGACCCCATCTCTTCACACTCTCTATCATCTATCTTCTTTTTTTCCTTCTTCATGTCTACCTACTTTTATCTCACTCATTTTAATTTAGATACACTGGTCGTAAAAGGCAGACAGTCATTGAAAAGACATACAACAAAGTTTTATGTGATAGATATGATTTTCTAATTTATTTATCATTCATTAATTTTAAAGTTGCAAAGACCTGCTTGCACACATAAGATATGTGAGTTTATACATTCACCTTTTCTACATGTATCTTATTTAACTATTATTTTTCACCCCAAAAAGTGCCATCATATTCAGTGTGCTGTATTGTTAATTATTCAGAATTATCATAAGAATAATATGAAGATGGATTATGTAATATCTATTTCAACATTTATAACAAATTAAAGTATTATTTATATATTATATATAAATGAAGTTTATCAAAAAGACAGACAATAGTTAATCAAAACAGAGACACAATGAGCTGTAAAGCCTTTCTACACTACTAGTAGTTTGGCCAGGAGAGATTAGACCTCCCTGCATGGTCACTGACAGGTGGTTATCTCATCAAATCAGCGCTCAATTAACATTAAAAAAGGGGACATGGGGGACCTACAGGTACCGCCTAGGCATTGTTGGCTATATAGAGGGCGCAAGTAGCTCCAAGTAGTGCAGTCCCGCTTTAAGTCATGTGTTTGTAAAATGCACAACCATTAACAATTATTTTATAGTGACTGAACATGAAGAGTTCCCATGCATCTCACACCAATATAAAAATATGATTTCTTTAAGACCTAAACTAAACAACGCCAATTTTATCTAATCTAAATTGTGACATTTGTAACTCAAATCTCAATTCATGCCTTTTTCAGCTTTTCAATCTTGCATGTACTTATGCATAAATGTAAACAGTTGCACTTAGCAAATGATATACCATTTCACTCCATTTCAGTTTTGTTTTAACATATTCTCATACAATCTAATTTGTTTTCTTCTAAAACCTAAAACTTAGGTTGAATATTGATCTACGTGATTCAGCCACTTAACTATTAACATGAGCCCTTTACATATTTCATACCAACACAAGGGGAGGTTTCATCATGCATTCTATATATCATAATGCATATGGTGACTGACTAGCATGTTTTTTCTCTTCTGTATGTAATCACAGAACGCATGACATCTCACCGACACTGCACAAAATACCCTCTAAATACTACTAATAATAATATGTCTATTTCTTACATAATATTTTTTCTTTAATACACTTATACACCATTACTGCTCCTGTGTCAAATCACAATGATAAATAGTAATGCCACTAGAATTGTATTTTTTGGTTGACCTTATTGAAGTTATGACAAGTACCAAGCTAAACTTTGCATGTTACTAAGGTACAGAGTGCAAGTGGAATTAAAGTAATTATGAAAGTTCTTCAAAATCATTTGAATAATGCTTTTAATTTGTAATCAAATTTGTACTTTTTGACCACTTGTTGTGTAGTAGAATAGTCACTAGACTGTGGATCACAAAGTACGTGGTTCAATGCCTGCTATGTATATTTGATTTATAGATTCTTACATTGATTTTTATCAAAGATGGTGATTTGATATCTATTCTCAGATTCATAGAGTTTACACCTTCAGTTATCAACTTTTCAATAATGGATGAAAATGAGGGATGAATACATTTAAAGAACTTCTTTCATGACTGTAACCTCAACAAATTCATCATTTGAACTGGAGCCTCTCAGTGATTTTTATATTTGATTATCATGAGAAAACAAAAACAAAAACAAACAAACACTTCAAAAACAGTACAAAAAGTGCATAATCGTCCAAAATAAAAACATGCATGGACATGTATGCTTTACAATCAATTACCCTGTATAGATTATATATAAATATATTGGTTTATTCGAACTCTACTTTGGTGAATTCAGTACTGGATAAATATATAGTTTTGGTAACTCGTTTCATATGACATATATGTATGCTGTGAATAATATAAACAATAATAGATCAAGATAATTATATACATCGACGTATACAATAAATATAATAAACTATACGTAAAGCAATACTTGTTTATAGAGATAATGATGATATAATACTACCATAATGAATACATTGAGAAATGCCCTGATAAAGAAAAATACTCTTACATGAATAGCCATGATGTGATTAAATCATTTCTACATATATTTTTGTTAATGCCAACAAAATCAGCACTATTCAGCCAACGTTTTCAAATATATATGTAACTTTCCTGATATATGCACATGAATTCCCAGACTGAATTGGGCTTTTTGGTATTATCTTTACTCCAGTGACCTAAAGACAGTAGAGACCAATCAAAGAAATAACTACTAGACTTGAAAAAATTCACAAATCTTCTGAATTCATAATGATAAACACATAACTGAGATTAAAAGAACATATATACATGTATTTGTAATGCCATACTGAATAAATCAAGAAATGCCCATAATTGATATCATGAATTGCTCCCAAAATGATAACCAACATAACATGCATGAGCTATCCACAAGATAACTCTTCCAGGCATTCACATTCACATTTGGAATGTTTTTTGTGTTGCTTTTTTGTTTACAATTGACAAGTTGAAATACTTTTATAATTCATTATACAAAACTGGTGTATGTTTCAAGTGGGTTAAATGTTTTTATCCTACAATCTTCATTTTGTAATACTGTTGATCCTAACTATGTACTTAATGATAAAGTTGAGTTCTGGTCATGCGATTGCATTGTGAAAGAAAAGGTATGGAATGGATCAGAAAAAGTTGATCATGTAGCATTTAAGTATTGGTGTGTACTGCAAGGTTCTGGAGTCATCAAAATCATAATAAATTTGGCCCAGTCTTGGTAAAGTAACAAGCACTGTACACAGAAAGATGTATATGAGACTACACAAATGGTGTCGGGCCCGACACCTGATTTCCTTATCTTTCTATGCTCATTACTCAGCCATTTTACATTTTCTACCAAAATTGTTTGGCAAATGACATTTATTTGTAATCTTGAACATTCAGTGTACATTTCGTTTGATTCTGTGAGAATTTATCTTCTGTTTTTACCAGAACTCAAGTTTATCTTTAATACATAAATGTAGGTAATTTATAGCAGTGCTGTGGTCCAATGACAGATATATACAAGTTACATGTTGAAATACTGTTATAATTCATTATACACAACAGGTGTATGTTTTCAAATGGTTCAAATGTTTTTATCCTATATACTTCATATTGTAATACTGTTGATCCTAACTATGTACTTGATACATGAATGTACAGTAGGTGATATATATTAGTGATGTAATCCAAAAACAGATATATTCGACTTACACGTTGAAATACTTTCATCATTCATTATACACAACAGGTGTATTTTTTCAAATGGTTTAATTTTTTTAATCAAATATACTTCATATTGTAATACTGTTGATCATATAAACTCTGTACTTGATACATGAATGTAGGTTTATATGTTTATATAATGTTTATAGCAATAATGTGGTCCAAAGATGGCGCAGTGTGCATCAGAATGATTACATTTGAAAGCCCATTGTATGAGATGTAACTGAGTATGGGATGTATCCAAAGTTTGGACGAAAATGGAAAAAACTCTGTATTCTTTGAAGATCTGACAAAACAACTAATGTATTGAGGTTGATCAATAAGCCAAGCATCCATCAGTATGACCATGGAACTCCTTCTGTCATCCTTGCTGTTTTACTACCATTCCAATGTAATGGTGCAAATTGCCTTCAAATCATACCAAGTATTTACATAAAAACTTAGCCAAAAAAAGGTTCATATTTTGCTAGAGTGTTTTTTAAAAGGCATTTTACAACCAGTACGTTAACTTTTAAATGATGGTTAAGAATTATTTTTTTGTTAGTTTGATTATATTTGTGGCTTACACCCAGTAAATAAGATCGATTGATCGATCTGTAATTGAAAAACAAGTCAGAAAAAATCTTGGAACCAGCGGAATTTGAACCTGCAATCTACTGCTTGCCGGGCAGCGACTCTACCACCAGGCCATCACTGGTCCATCATATTTTGCTGTTGTTGACATGATTACTTCTTTGGTGAACAGATCATTAGATGAACCAGTTGTTACATAATGACTATATTAAACTCTCATTGTAATAACAAATCATTTACAAAAAATGTTATCTGAAAAAACAGAAGGAGAACAAAACTGAAGACAGAAAGTCAAGAGCTATTAAAAAATTAAGCAGGAAAAAAGACGAATAAATTGTGCGTAAAGTGAGCAAATAGAAAAATATAAAGGTGCTAAACATGAAATTATATAATAATTTGATGATGATGAAGATATCAATACTCTATAGGAAGCCATAGTCTAGCATTCAGAAGCTAGAGATTGTACATCACTCTGTTTAACTCTAGAATGATCTACGTTCTCATACAAACCCTCGGTAGGAAGACGATTCTCATAGTCCAGCTCCTCCTCTGATCTACACAAGGTATGATGATGGGTGAGCAGCTTATAACATAGTAGGTAGTCAGTCTGCAAATATAACAGAACCACGATCACTCATTGTTTATCATTACTAGTGAATGCATACAATAACATTAAAGCCAAAACTAAGTTGCCAAAGCAAGTTATCCATTACCAGATTTTCCTTGAACATTCACACAAATCAGTTTCTCTCATTTACTTATTTCATTGAAACCAACATGATATCAAGCTGGCCTTCCCATATCTCAATTAAACAATCATTCCAATCAAACATTATTGTGATAGGGGAACCCTCTTTGACTTTATCAGTGTATTGCATACATCATGTCCCCCCCCCCCCCCCCCCCATATGATGCAGCACAGCACACAAGCATTACAATTTCATGCAGTATGGAGTAAAATTAATGACTTTTCAAATAATGCAAAATGCAATCATGATGTTGTTAACAAGAGAGAAATACTAAATTAGTTTTATTTTTAATTTATTGTGCAGGAAAAATATATTTGGCATTAGGAATGCTGTTGGCAAGATTTGTTTGTACTGAACAAACCAAATCTTGCATGATAATTCCATTTGGCCATTATTATATAGGGGAATTGAGAAGCCTTCTAATCGCACCATTTGAAATAATGAGAATGCCAGAAGAGAGAGAGAGAGATATCTTCCATCAAATTTGAGTCTTCTCAAAGTCCAGACTAAACAAGAATTTTAGTTCACACTTCTATGGAATGCTAGGTTTCATCTTCCTCCTTCAATATTCATGACAAAGATAATCTACCAAAGACTGTGTTGAAATTCAGTTCATACCGGTACTCATATTATCTTTTTCTTCCCATTTCATTGCAAAATTGATTTTTTTTTTGTGGACACTTTTCATTGAAGGATTAAAATAATCTGTACAGGGTAAATGAGTTGGTAACAGGCACTCCATAAAAGTGTGGGCTAACTTAGTATGCGCTACCGGAATACCACCCCATAACCTTTTACTCACAAGACAAGAAAACAAAAACTGGAAAAAAAGAGGGGAAAATATCTTACCAAAGTTGGAACAAAGTTTGGCCTGGAGAGCCTTAGTAGCCTGAGATTTTGGAAGACATCAATAGCGCCATCATTGTTGAGTTGTTCTAAACAGTTCATCACGGTACAGAAAACTCCACTTTCCTCTATGCCACTCCTATATAGGAAACATACAAGAACTCATCTCATTATATGTTTTCATTGAATTACAATCTTGGATAACCTCATCCTATCAACCAGTAAACCACCAGGATTCAATATCATTATCTTGTCTAAATCTAGGGATTCTCTGCTTTCAAATAATGTATAACTCTCTCACATAAATCCATGTTATTTCAACAACAGCAGTGTATGATACAATAACATTATGTTTCAGCATTAATGACAAATTGTATTATCTGAACTTTTTCTAAATACATGTAATATGTACTTAGAATAGTTCAAAGATAATTTCTATTGACTATAAGAATGTGGCCAAGATAAGGATTAGGTTGAAATAGCCTAAAACAGAATGGTTATCTGTTTTAATTCCTGCCAAGCAAATTAGCTGATTTCAAAGCTTTGTTCATGGCTGTGAAAAGATACATGTATACAAGATAAAGCTTTGATCAATTAAGTTCACATTCTATCTTTTGTAAATCAACAGACAAAGGAACGTGATCCTTCCCAGCACCATAAATACAGGGCCAAGAATGTTTGCACCTACAGATACATGTAGATCTTCTAATTTGAACACTATATTATTCTGGAAAAATTGTACCGCTACAAAATACATGCTACAAGGTCTGGGGGTGTTTCACAAAGATTCCAAGTTGAACTTAACTCTAATAAGTTGGACTTAAATATCATGGAGAGCCATTTGTAGCCTTATAATGAATATATTCAAAAGCAAAAATTGAAGTATTTTAAACTTTTCATAAATTGAAATAAACATGAAATCTCCCATGATAACAGAAAATATGAATGATTTGAACCAACATTTTATGCCTTTTAAGATAACCTTTACAAAATATTTTTAAGGATGCTAATGGCTTTCCATAATTGTTAAGTCCAACTCAGAGATAAGTTCAACTTAGGATCTTTCGGAAACACCCCCCAGGTCTCTTAGTCTATGAAGAATTAATAAGAAATGTAGATGGAATACTGATATTACTAGTAGACTACATTACACTACATGCTTACCAACCATGGTTTAGAAAACGTGTCCTATGAATAGTATACTGTGAGACATGCTTGCAACGATGGACTAGACTACATGTACATAGGTGTCCCGTGAAATCACTACCCATACTTACAAGCAATGGACTAGGATAGGTGGTCCATCTCCAGGTCTACTCTGTTCAGTACTTCTCTGGATCTCACATTTGTGAAGGTAGTCCATGAGTTGGAGGACTGCATCCATACACTGTTCTTGAGACTGGACCCCGTCAGACTGGATCCAAGTAGGCCAAGTCTGAACCTCAAACTGACGGATCTCATGTACTTCCTGTTAACAAGACACATTCATTGTCACGATAGAGAGCTAGAAACTATTTCATCCATGTCTTCTACCCTGTAATAATACATAACACACCATATCATTGCAGTAGCGATATCATCATTAAAAGAGTATCATCAGCAGTTTCCTGATGGACAGACAATCTAAGGGTGGTATACTTGAGTGGCTAGCTGCCCTGTAGTAATCCCAATGGTCCAATTAGACAAACAGTTTTGAGCCCAGTTAGTCAAAAATTGATGGCATATTTAGATTTTTCACATTTTGCCAAGGTTTGAGACTGCTTGCCCTTACTGCCAAATTTGCGATTTGCAACAGATGTCCAACAAGCAAGCAAGTAAGCAAGCAACAACAACAAATTAAGTTATTATGATAAGCCTCTAATGTTTACATGGTCATCGATATCATACCCCTGCTTCTTATTACTCCCAACCCAACTGTCCACACCCCCACTTTGTGTACAGTAAATTTTACTATCAATATTTGCTCAGCTTCAGAAAGAAAAAACAAAATACAGGCAGCTACATAAAGATACAACCTCAAATAATGTTACTGAATGGTTACTGACCTCCTTGTATTTGAGCTCTAGTGTGCGAACTTTGACCCTGTTCATGTTCTCTGACCCCTTGTGACCCACGGTGAAGGGGCCAAAGGTCACGCTTCTAGTGTTGACAGGCCAGTATATGCTGCATGTCTGCAAGAAGTTTAAATTAAACACAAGATACAATTGAGAAGATACAAAAATACTAGGTATTGGTGATTGGACCGATGACAAATTAGAGACATTTGCTACATGTTCACCATCTCTGATTAGTAAATTTAATGATGATCTTAGTAAGTCTTGACATTTGACATGAATATAGCATTTGCATTTTTCCACTTACACCATACTTACTATTCATCACATACATGTGGTTTCTATATTAAATGTTGACTGCACGTTTTATTCTAATTCATTGTTGAAAAACTGCCCCCCAATAATCAGTAGACTGTGTTACATGTATGATGATGATCCACAGCACTTGTATGGTGCCATTTCAAACATTCAAAGGGGCCCGCTCCTCCAACAGTCGTGGACTACACATTTGCTTGAAAAGATGGGTTTTGAGGTCCGACTTAAAGCTTTCTAGCTTGTATGTGTCACGCAGAATAGGAGGGGGGAGGGGGGGGGGTTCCAGAGGCATGGAGGAACTGACGAGAAGGCAGGAGCACCATAAATTGGGAGTCGTGAACGTGGAACTAGGAGAAGAAGTAGTCCTGACGAGCGTAAACCCAGATGAGAATGATGTTCTCTTACCACGAAAGCCCCATACAAGGGTTGGGGGTCATATTAGCATTTCAAGATACATGTAACTGTGGGTCAATAGTTTTTAACACAGACGGTCAAAGCAGGAGATACAGGGGTCATATTAGCATTTCAAGATACATGTAACGGTGGGTCAATAGTTTTTAACACAGACGGTCAAAGCAGGAGATACAGGGGTGATTGTGAGCACTAAAAAAATAGGTTTCTTTTTTTTCCTTAACAACCACTCCCCCTTGAGCAAAATGTTTTTAAAAAGGATTCAGCAAAGAAAAAAAATGTCATCTAACAACATTCCCCCTTTTGAGTAAGAAAATTAGGGAAAATAGGGGTAAAATTGGGAGAGAAAAAAAAATTGGGGAAAAAAAAAATTAAGAAAAAAAGATTGGGGAAAAAAAATTGGAGAAAAATTGATTAAAACAATAAAATGATTGGGAAACCGATTTAAATCGGGTAATTATCAGGCCTGGAGATAGTATGTGTATAACATACTTGATATCCTATGAAGATAGTTGAGTGAATATGACAAACCTTATCATTGAGTTGGTTGAGCATGATGATAGTTGAGATATGGTAGTCATGTACTAATCTCCAGAAGTCCAGCACAGTGCTATCAAGAGGCATTTGTGTTGCGATGAAAGCATTCTTCTTGGAGTAACCCTGATGGATAATAAAAGAAAAATGAATAACGAGCTTTACCTAGAAAATGATGCCTCTGCCATAGAGCAATTTTACAAACCAAAACAGAAGGAATTTTCTGAAAATACAAGTTTGATTGCAATTCATTAACAGGTTCTCAGAATATCGTGATTACAATCTATTTTTTTATATATACATGTATGACCCTTTGATCTTTAACCTCCTGATCCTAAAATATAATCAGTTCTTTGGCTCTGCAAGATACATACATGTCCTGAGTTTGGCGGTAATCCATTAATCGATTCTTGAGATAATGCAATCACAAGCTATTTTTGCATACATAATGAGCCCTGTGACCTATGACCTTTGACCCTGTGACCCCAAAATCTAATCAGTTTGTAGTGACTTGACCTTTGGAGAACTTTGCATTTGTATATATTATTGTCTTGTCTATATTGTGTGGCTTGAAGTCTAGCCTTTTATTCCACTGTCACTCATTTCTTTAGTGACACCTGTTACATTACCAGAATGCCACACATACTTATTCTGGCAAGCACATTCCACACCCTATGGGTTGGGATGTGCAACCGCCTAATGGTATAGCTTATACAGGCACATTACACTTGCTTGCCACACCTATTTTCATCACTTCTCCTGAGCACACTTATTCTAGAGTCTTGAGTCGATCTACAGCAAAGCTAATTCAGCTTCATCTTAATTCTTGTCCTATTTCTTCGCTTGTTTCTCTACTCGGTTCTGAGGCCTTAATACTTTATAGAGATTATAAGTTTCTTCTTCCTTACTTAATTCGCAAAGAAGCGTCATTACTTTGTACATGGTCTTACATATTCTTTCTACGGGTGCTGTGCAATATTTGAACTACTACTTGTGATATAATATATGTTCCAAGTATCTGTACTCAACAGGTGTTTCTACGACAAGGTAGGAAAGAAATTTATTTCTATTTCTTTTATTTAGGTGATTAAATTCCCTAAAAGTTCATTGGCTCTGCAAGATAAATACATGTCCTGAGTTTGGCGGTAATCCGTGAGATAACGCGATCGCAAGTCATTTCTACTTCTCACATAACAATTATAATCCTGTACAACACTAATAGACATACGGACAACCAGAAAACATTATGCTGCCAGCTACTTTGTAATGGATACATCTAATGAAGAACTCTCCTGAGAAGAAACTGTATATTCAGAGAAAAGCTTGAATATATATGCCTACAACATAGTGGTAGTTCATAACATTAATAATGGATATTAGGAGCCACTTAAGATATTTAGTACAAACGTGCTTACAAAATCAAAGATTATGAAAGCAAAACAAAATATGACATATCAAATGATTTAAATCACATGAATAACATCTTCCCATCACAATTTAGTGATTTTATCAATTTTAAATGCAACTCGGAAACCCATACGTATAATACGAGAAGCGCTGCAAACATTCGTCTCCCTAAACATAGAACCCGAAGATTTCAATTTGACATTCGATACTCTGGGCCAAAATTTTGGAACACCTTACCATCTATTCTACACAAATCGCTCTCCTTGCAGACTTTTTCCTGTAAGGCAAAAATGTATATAATTGCTCGATATTGATACCCTCTCTTGTATTTATGTGTGAAATGATCTTTTGTGGAATTTAATGACATGTTTGTATGACCGATTATTTATCTACTTTGATAACTTGTTGCTAGTACCATCTGTATATTCCCAGGACAATGCTGTCGGATAAAGCTGTTGTCTGTTTGATGATTTTGCTTGTTTGTAATGATATGTACCCGCTGTCTATTTTACAATTGTACTTCGTTATCTTTATGATGTAATCGCAGACACATGTACAGCCCAATTGATGTAACTTTCTCTTTATAAGTGAACATGCCTTCCTATACTTAATTCTCTCCTCTCTTCCTTTCACTATTTTTTCTTCCCTAGCAACGTTCTGTTATATACAATGTAATTTTCATAATAATATCTATAGTGTTCTTTCGGTAACTATGTTAATTTATTATGGGCGTTCCCAACTCAAGCTACGCTTTCCGGGTTTTCGCCTCCTTCCGTATCTGAATTAATTACTGTATACTCTATGTTGAAATAATTGTTACATATATCATGTATATATACATTGTGTTTTATATTGTGCTGTTGAGAAGGAAATAAATGTTAATAAATACAAATACAAATACATCAGCCTAAAGCAGAGACAATGATTTTTTTTAATATTGCAGACAAATATGCATTACTTAATTCAACAGACTATAAAACTTCAAAGAATGAGCCTGATTTTGTTATTGATAATCCCTGTCATAAACATTACCTAAAAATCAAGACTATTATTATACAAATGCTTACAGACATGAAGCTGGCATTGATGTAGTTATTAGAGCCTGCACGGTCACCGGGAGTCATCAGATAGGGGCGACTTCGGTCCTCTATAGGAAGAATAATGTGAAAAAATAATTACTAGAAAGTGATTCAAGTTTAATGAGTAGATTGTAATCATATCTGTACTAAAGGTGAATGGAGAGTCTAATTTTAATTCAAAGTCCAACCTTTCATTAAAAGAATAGATAATAAATGCACCCATATACAGTCAAACCTGTCTACAGCGACTGCCCAAGGATAACAAAAAGTGTGCTTGTTGTAGACAGGTGGTCTTTGTAGACAGGTTGTCACTAAAGCAGGTTTGACTGTAGCTGGTAAAAGGTTTGTAAAAAACAAACATTCACTGCATGAACCCTTGCATTTTTGAGAGCATCTTCAATTTCAAAGATCATTGGCTAAGACTTCCAACATGTACATGTATACTGGGTTCTTCTGAATGACTACCTGGAATGTTCAAATAAATCTTACAGTTGGTGAAGGCAGTGGTGGCTCTAGGGGGTAGGGGGCTCAAGTTCAAGTCCCCTCCCCCTAAAAAAATAAAAAATAACAATAAATAAATAAATGAAGAGGCATATGTAAAATGAATGCAAAAAAACCAAGGCCCCCCTCCCCAAACAAAAAATAAAAAATAAAATAAAATAAAAAAATAAATAAATACAAATAAAATAAAATAATAATAAGAATAATAACGATAATGATAATAATGGTAATAATAATAGTAATAATGATAATAACAATAACAAGTAACATGAATAAATAAATATGAAGAGAGATATCTTACGAGGAAGAATGTTTGGATATCTGTTCTTAGTCTCATTCTCAGGACTACTACCGGAACAGCTGACATTCATGTCTGATGATACAATGTCCAATATCTGAAACAAAACAAACTCTCATTCATTCTACATTCAAAATGGTGGATTCTAACAAGAAAAATACATTTCAAGGCTTGTAATTTGAATTTCTGATGTTGGGCTTTTTCTGGTTTTCCAATCAGTATAAAAACATAAAAGCTGATGTTAATCACTTGCCATGTGATCACAGGCTCAAGCCATAGAAAGGAAGCAATATGTCAGATAAATAGCGAGACATATTTCTTTACAGTGTGAGTCCAAAAAAAGTTTACACCTAGAAAATTGCTATTATTTTAAAAACCATGAATAGTAAATGATTATACATCTTATGAAAGAGTGTTTTATCCCAAATCATTTGGTATCATTTTTGTGTGGTATGTGTTCACGCTTGGATGAACAGGATTTACTGTTCATAGATGATTTTTAAAATAATTAGCAATTTTCCAGGTGTAAACTTTTTTTTGACTGACACGGTATTGCTTCTCTGCATCAAGGTGTTGGTATACCCTGTATTATGCAGACATCATGTGGTTGGGATAGCATGCGCCTGTCTGTCAATTGCTGACCGGCTGGAATGTCTCAAAAATGGAGTGACTGTAGATGGTGCACAGAATCATCAAAAAAAGAATTGCGTAAAAAATCTCTTTCTATTCTCGCATACATCCAAGATGTTTCATTATTATCACAATATTCATAATTCCTTGGGTTAAGTTTTTGATGTTGACGCTGCCGCTGTCACCGGAAAAGCGGCGCCTTCATGTATGCCTCGCTTTTTGCTACGCAGGCGAGACAAAAATGGAGTGACTGTAGATGGTGCACAGAATCATGACAAAAGCATACATGCCAACATTTAAAAATCAGAAATCTGTACAAATTATGCTATTTTCAAAAAAAAGAGGAACAATCCTAACTCTCCTATTCAATACTACAGACAAATTTGTACAGGAAGAGGAACAACTGCATTAAAATGATAATTATCTTCTCCCAAAAAGAGGAATGTTCCTCTTTAATCTGATCAGTTGGCATGTCTGCAAAAGAACAACAACAAAAAAGGCTTTCCATTTTCGCATAGATGTAAAAATGTTTGATTAATATCCCAATATTCATAATTCCTCAAAACACAAATGTACATATATATTATGAATACCTCAAATTCTTGTTGCAATGGAGACTTGTCTGTATGTGGGTTTGGCCACTGTATTTGCTCCACTCTCTCGGTTATATCGTCTTCTAGGATCAAGGTATCACCGCATAACAAACCCTCTAACACAGCCTCATGAACAAAAGCATATTGCTCCTGAAAACAAATGAAAGATAAGAGTGTTAATGGTAACTTGCAATGAAACTTGGCATTAAAGATAAAGATCAGTCCTGGTCATGCGATTGCATTTTGAAAGGAATGTTGTGGAATTGATCAGAAAAGGTTGATCATGTAGCATACAAGTATTGGTGTGTACTGCAAGGTTCTGGAATCATCAAAATCATAAGAAATTTGGCCCAGTCTTGGTAAAGTTACAAGCACTGTACACAGAAAGATGTATATGGGACTACGCGACACGTGCGCGATATCTATCAAGTCCAAATGGATATAATAATGTACCAAATATATCAATTAGTAGGCGGTTTCTCAGCCAAATTTATATGATCACATATTAGTCAAAACATATTCTTTCACATGATTGGTAATAAAAGCTTCCATTTCATTTTTTGAGAGGGGGGAGTTTCCAAAACTGGTCTTTACCTTTAATGGTAACTTGTCAAATGAAAGTTGGCATTAATGATAACTCTTATGAAATAGATGATTCACCTAGCTTATGACTTGTGGGAAATCTATATATCTTTTTTTAAATTTACTTTTAATTTTTTTAGTGCATCATGTACTTTTATAGACAAATTGCAACAAGATAAAGTAATGGCAATTTCAACAAGATCTGTAAATAAGAAATGATCAGTAAATAGAAAAATAAATAAAAACACAAGACTTAGTGTATGAGAGAAATTGCACAAATATATGTGCACTGGCATAAAAACACCATAAATTGTAACCATGATTTGATTTTTCACATGAGTTGCTCAAAGTTCCAGAAAATAAGTGATTTAGCCTAGAATTTGACAATCTACATATATCTTGTAATGCATCATACATGTATTTTTGAATTATCAATACCAATATACTCTTATGTTTTCTTCAAGTATCCTAGAATAAATGAAGATGTACATTTTTCTTAGTCCATGTGTACCCTGTGATGCAAATGGATGTACAGTATGATAATGAAATCTGTGAATGCTTAAATATAATGCTCAAATAAATGATTCAAGTATTCAACCTCAAAAAAAATGCACCAATTCGATTAAATTGACATCCTTTGAGATGAACACATTAGAGTAGTTGAAACACATTTCTTACATGAAAAATAATCATGAAGACAAGATGTTCAGTATCGGCAGACTTACTAAGTTGACATTTAAATCTAAATACTAGACACAAATTCTCCATGAATAAGCATGTAGGGCCATAAACATCCAATAGATTTATAGAAGAACGCATATAAAAATCTAAAAAGAATTCTACACAAATATATGGCAGTGACACAAGAAAAGAGAAGAAGAAAAATAAAAACTGAAAGAGAAAAGCAAACAAATGTAAATAAAGAGGAATGAATGAGATATGAGTAACTCACAGGAGTTTGAACCATCTGAGGTCGGTTGTTTCTCATTGAGTTGATGAAAGAGAAGATATCAATTTGATCAGACCTCTTGGCTTCTCGTAAGATACTATCTACAGCAATGATCACACCTGTTCTTCCAGCACCAGCACTGTTATAAAACCAAAACAAATCTATGTTAGATCACAAAATATAATAAAGGGACCCTAAAGACAATGGTATATCTACAAAAATACTAGCAAAGTAATCACTTTTGTCATACTCTGAAAGTGGCATAAAGAAATGTTATACAGTAGGCTTGCGGGTGCACCATGTGAGAGAGAGAGAGGGAGGATTGAGGAGTCCTGAAAAGGACTCTCTGTAATCTTTCTTGAGGGTGAGTAGTCCTGAAAAGGACTGTTGGTGTAGTCTTGAAAAAGACTGTTGGTTATCTTTCTTAGCTTATAGTTTTAAGGAGAACTATAGCGCTTGGAGAGGATGAGTGGCGGGAGTGGCTTGACGTTTCAAACAGGTTGACTATCCATGACCGTGTGGGCTTGAGTCATCGGAGAGTGGAATGGGTGGTCTACTTGTCCGTCTGCTTGTCCGTCTGAAATGTTGTTTACTGTTTGAGCATTGTTTCAAAGTTGATAAAGAATCAGGGTTTTACGCTAGTTTGAACACCATATCCTTTGAAAATTGTATAAATGGGAAGACTCATTGTGAGAATGCCCTGATAATTGGCCAGAAGTCACGTCAATTGATCTCATCAAAATAGTTTTCTTGACAAAAAAAAATCTTTTGACGGTGTTGTTTTCTAGGCTGGAACTCCTTTGCTATACAATGATTCTTTAATTACATGTTTCTTTAAATAACTTTCTTATAAATTTCCTATAATCTTGTTTGACCGCATGACTGTAGTCTATAGCATATCAGGGAAAAAAATACATGGGGGCTCGGGGCAAATTAGCCCCCGAAATACCCAAAGAGCCCCCGAAAGTCATAAAAAAGCCCCCTAAAATTTTCATAGAGTTCAATGCAAAACAAATTAAAGGGTGTTATTTTCATGCAAGCAAGCTTGAAAAGTAGCCCCCAAAATTTTTTAAACATTTTTTCCCTTGTAGCATATATGAATTTACTGTTTATTCTAGGAGAAGTTACCTGCAGTGAACAAGCAGTGGTCCATTCCCTGCTTTCTCCTGGCTCTCATTGACATCTTGGATCATCTTGAGTACAGGTCCAGCAAACTTAGGTACTCCTTTGTCAGGCCAGCCTTGGTAGTGGTATTGCTTTAATGTCCTTGATTCTATGCCCTATACAAGATAAATATCAGGGGTGATAGTAAGCAATAACAAACATTTTTTTCCCCCTCAACCACGCCCCCCTTGACCAAAAAAAAAGGGAAGAGGATTCAGGGGGAAAAAGGCATCTAACATCCCCCCCCCCCCCCTGTTGAGTAAGAAAAATTGGTAAATAATAGGGAAAAATAGGGAAGAATTGGAAAAGTGAGGGAAAAATCAGGAAATCAGGATAAAATCAGGAAAGAAAAAAAACAACAACAAATCGAGAAAAAAATATTTAAAAAAAAACGGGAAAAAAAAAAAAACGGGAACAAAAAAATTGCGGAAGAATTATTTAAAAAGCAGAAAACCAATTTAAATCAGGTTTTTATTAGGCCCGAAATATGTCATCTATAACTAGTACCTCCCTCTAATATACCCTGTACTGTATTTGTACTGTAATTGCAAAATGGGAACTGATTCAGTTCACGGGGGTACTAGGATAAATTACAGTCTTTTGATCAAAAACAAGTGTTTCAGTTAGTTGTGAAAACAGCAGAGCTTCAATAAAAAATAAATATTCTACTAACATTACATCTTTTTTCGCCTTTTTACTTTCAATATAACTAAAGTGATATTTAAGTTATATCTAAATGAGCCAATATGTAAATTATCATTTTGAAATACAGAGAATTGGAAGATTTCTTACATTTGTAGTCATTAGAATCCTGATGACATATCGATGGCAGACATCAACGCGATGACATGTAACTTGAATGCTTCCATGCGTCTCAGTGTCACCTTCATTGGGCCAATACTGTAAGCATTTAACCTGTCAAGGAAGGGTGTAGTACACAGTTAAAAGTCATTTCTACTTCTCACATAACAATATATTCATGTACAACACAGTAATCGTTATACCAATCATTGGATCAGAAAATAAATTCCAACGAATGCATAATAAAACATAATGGTACATACATGTACATGTACATTTTGAAGAAATGACATTGTCTGCCACAATTCAATTTCCTAACTGTTTTTTTTTCTTTCTCCAGAAACACACAATTCATCTCTAATATCCTATTTGGAATGCCAGGGCTATACATTGTTTCATATCTCCACAATCTTATTATTTTGCATTAATTTGATTCAAAGGTAAACATGAAATTAAATGATATTGTAAAATGCCGGATGACATACAAGTACCTTGTCCTCTACTCTCTACCAAAAGAAAACAATACTTAAACCTTTGCCTACCTTTCCCTCCTCAAACAGATTGGTCACCATGACGATATTGTGCACATTCTCCATCCATACCATCTTCCAGAAGTCTGATAGAGATGCTTTATTAGGTCCTAAAAAACAACATTACACATACACATGTTGATTTCACGAACACAAGCATCAATATTAATGATGAGGATGATAGAAGTATAGTAGTAGTAATAATAGTACTAATACTAATACGTCTACTTCTACTACTACTGATAGTACTACCTTCTACTTCTACTACTACTACTACTACTACTACTACTACTATTACTACTACTACTACCACTAACATTACTACTACTACTACAACTACTATATACTACTGCTACTGCTTCTGCTACTGCTTCTGCTACTGATGCTACTGCTACTGCTACTACTACTACTACTACTACTAAGCATTCCAGTGAGGCACCATTTTATAGATCCTCACAATGCTCAGCAAAATACAATAATGTTTGCATCCTACCAGGTACCCATTTAGCACCTGGGTGGAGAGTGGCACCATGGATTAAGGTCTTGCCTAAGGACGTTAGTTTGGGCTATGATTCAAACCCTCAACCCTTTGAGAATCAATTGAATGAATCACTATAGTATACCACGACACCCCCACTAACGTTAGAGGACAGAACATAATACCAGTGCATGAGCAGGGAAAGAGAAAAAATCTATATGCATGTACATGAAAGCCTCCACCAAGAAGGATTAATACTCTTAACATTTGCTTTAGTTAATGTAAGTTACATATGCTCCAGGTCTATTTCATCAATGATAAGGTGTTAACTTGTTATCATTATTTATTTGGCAAAGGCAAAGTAAAGAGACAGTGAATACAAAACAACAGTAACATTTGAAGTGAGTCACATGGATGCCGACAAAAGAAAAATATTAACTAAAAAGTATAACCCTCAGGTATTGTAGAGATAGGATAGTGAGGTTACATGTACATGTTTAGTATTATGCTAGGTTTACATGTACATCATGTTCCCGGCGGCCACGGCAATCACGTTTCAGGTCACCGGCCGTCGACAAAACGGGATGGACGTGAGACAACACAGGGGGAGGGGACAGAAGGGGCAAGCATGACAGGCCGTGATTGCAGGGCAAGATTTTTAAACAATTTTTCTTTCTTTTAACATATCACCATTTTACATGTAATTGCCACATGACTGTAAATTTTGAGCACATAATTTACAATGCACAACATTTCTTTTATAAAAATAAGCATTTCCGTGTTTGTCAATACAGTCAAGCTTAAGCAGTCTTCACTCCACACATACATGTTGGGAAAGAGAAAACAGGGTTACCTTAACCACAAAAATGAAATTAGAGGAAAAATAAAGAGAAAAAGACAAAGCCCTAGGCTTGTGCTTTATCAAGAAGGCCAATCAGACCTGCCATACCTAGCAAAAACAACAATAACAATGACAACAACAGGTAGTAATAGTTCATGTAGCAATACAATTTTTAAGGATACTGCCCGCCCCTCAACCCCCCCCCCCCAAAAAAAAAAAAATCAAAAAAATCAAAAAAAAAATCAATCAGAGATTTCACTAATTTTAGAAAATAAGTAACAAAATACTGACTCAAGTTTAAAAAAAAAAAATCAATATAGGAATATCAAACAATAAGAGGTTAACAATAATTTACATGCCCAGCTCGGCACGTGGATTTCCAACAATGTCCATATGTATCTGACATATGGACTTGTCAAACCTATGTCAGCTATGTGTGTATATGTGCAGCTATGTGTGTATATGTGCAGCTATGTTTTCTATGCAAACCTCTCACGTTAGCTCAGTTAAAATCTTAAATAGTTGCAATTTGGCATGCCTATACACACTACTGTTTTATCAGAAAGAATAGACAAATCATCAAAATATCGTCCAAATCAATATTTTGATGGAAACTCTATTAAACATATGGCATTCCCACTTTCTTTCACTTTATTCAATACTTTAGTGGTCAAATATTTTTCCTCAATTGGATTTTTGCCCAAATTAAATATATGCTACATACATGTATAAAGAACTGTTGTTCAATCTAAAAATATGCATAGATATAATAAGATAAAGGTTATGATACAAAGAAAGATTACACCATTAGGCATTATTATCCCACTCATTCCACAAAGAAAAGCTTGAGAAAATGACGTATTCACATTTGAATTAGAATGTAGAATTAGCAGATATAAGCATAGAAAATATAATTAATTGAGACTTCACTGCAAGAAAAGAGTTTATTAGAAGAGAAGAAATGAGAATGAAACATCACCGTACAATACACAGATTACATCCATACCATTTGAGGAGATGGGAATTTCTTAATCTTGTAAAGATGAAAATCTTCCCCCACCCCCAAACAACTAGATGGTCAAATTAAGAGCAAAAGGAGGGAATGGTATTATAGCAGAGCCGCCAACCTTGTGCGACCAAAAAAAGGAATTTCAGGCAAAAGAAAGGAATTCATTAAAATGAAACTTACAACCACGCGCGACACACTTCCAATGCAGAAATGTCCATTCCTTATGCTGTTTTTTTCCATACAAGTATTCTTCTTTCATTCCTTTTCAGTATATATTTTATCTTCAGGTATGTTTCAAGTATGTTTTAACCTTAGTTTTCTATTGAATTTGTGATCAAATCACCATTTTAGGGCAGTTGTTTGATGTGCGGTATGTAAACAATTTTTTTTAATTTTTTGACAGGAATTCCGAACATGTCAATGATTTTTCTTAGAAATCATCAATAATAGCTTTAAAAATGATGACTCAGACCGTTCAGAAAACGGAAACTGCAGGAGCCTCTCCGGTGAAAAGGAGGGTGATTTAGGCATTAAAATGTCTTTAAAAAGGCAAAGTATGATATTAATTGGAGAAAAAAAAAATCTATCCGAAAAATAATATGCACTTGATAATCTCAGTACGTTTCTGGCAATTTCGTCATTGAGATTGTAAGATCCTTATTGTAAGCCCGCAATGACATCAAGGTCACGTGATCGTATTACCTTTTTTTGAGGGGCGTAGCCCAGCAAGCGTAAGAACTGTGAAGAATGGATGGTTATTATCATTTTTTGGTCAATTTAGAGATTTTCTGAAAAATCAGAGGCTGGAATATTAATAAGTAGAGGCGTATTCATATATTGAAAGGCTATGTTAGTTGAGTTAGATTGGCCTTTTAATAAAGGAACAGGTTAGCCACCAAGAATACTTCCCTTTAAACACACCACAATGACCAATTAATTTAAACATGCATTGATATACATGGATGGTTACAAACAATACCTTGGGTTGCAATGTACATCTTTTCTTTATCAAAACTCTGCAGATGAAGGGGAAGGGGAAGAGGAGTTTTTTTAACATATCACATTCCATGAACAAGAAACTACATACTTTACTACTTTACTAGATGTTTCAATTCATTAAGGTATGGATGACACACAAAATAACAACCAGTTAATCTTGTTTCATTCTGGTTATTCATGCATGTATATGTACATCAATATGCCATTTCGTATTGCACTTCATGCATACGTTATCAAACAGAGCTGAGACATCTATACTTTCTTTTTTTACATTTTATTTTCATGCATGTGGATGAACAAACAATATTAAATAGTTCAGTTATCTCCAATTACAGTTTAACCTGCTTTAGTGACCACCTGTCTACAAAGACCACCTGTCTACAACAAGCACATTTTTTGTATCCCTTGAAAATGGTTTCTCATTGAAACATGTAATAAAGGAACCTGTCTACAAAGACCACCTGTCTACAAAGACCACTTTTTGTGTTTCCCTTGGGTGGTCGCTATAGACACGTTTGACTGTATCAATAATATGAATATTAATAAAATGCATTACTTACATTGATATATGAAGCATTGATGTAGTCTGAGTTAGGCACCCCTTTCACTTCCTCTAACATCACTCGGGAATGATCGTCTGGAAATAATTCAATCCATTTAAAACACTTTTAGAAAACTTTTCAGGAATTAATATCTCATTAAAATTCAATTTATTTAATCAACATTAGTAAATTATACATCCAGGACACACCCTCCCTCCCTCCCTCCCCCTCTTCTCTCTCTCTCTCTCTCTCTCTTTCTCTCTCTCTCTCTCTCTCTCTCTCCCTCGCATAGCTTGGAATCAATTACATTCCTGTAGAAAGCCATATTTAGTTGCAGCTGGGTGAAACACGAGAGATTACACATGTCCATGCATGCTGTTTAAAACTGACTTTTATAATCTTATTTTTACTTCATAAATGTACTATGGTATAGTTTACATGTGCATGTAACTATTAAAGAGAAGGTTGAGTTCTGGGAAGAGGTGAAAAATAATTTGTGAGCGTTATCATTCTTATTATGCAAGTGTGGAAGAACATCAGATAAGACATGTTCCCAGAAGAGCATGGCTCTTCAAATGCCTTTATATTCTAAATATGTCATGTAACAATGTAAAACTCGGGGGTAGGATTTTTACGCCACGTGTTTGTGTAGTCCCATATACATCTTTCTGTGTACAGTGTTTGTAACTTTACCAAGACTTGGCCAAATGTCTTATCATTTTGATGATTCCAGAACCTTGCAATACACACAAATTCTTATATGCTAGATGATCAACCTTTTCTGGTCGATTCCACACCGTTTATTTGACAATGCAATTGCATGACCAGAACTCAACTTCATCTTTAAAGGTAAAATCCAACTCCTTTCATACTCACATGCCAATATGTTGCGATATCGATTCTTGACCTTGTTGTTTGGTAAGCTGGCAATCTGACTCGGTTGACTGAGGCCAGAGGGTAGCAACTATTACAGAGAATCAATATTCAAGAGATATTATACTACTTTACAATGTAACGGTACATGTAATGAACTACCCTCAAACACATGAAGCAATTATGTATACATGAAAGTCATAATTGGTAATGTATGATGGGCAACCCTACATTGCATATCTGTGACCCTTGAAGATTTGTAAGATTTGTTTCTATTCATACAAGATATTTCTATATTCCTCTAACAAATAATTATGTAATCATTTCTGTTATGCTAAACAGTATGCTCATTTCTGTTATATCATTACGTTTATTATTGTCCGTCATTGTTTATATTATGTGAAAAGAAATAAAAAATAAATTCGCTCTGTATAGAGCTACTACTACTACTACTACTACTACTACTACTACATGTGTGTCAAAAATCTCATAACAATTTGATAAAAGAACAATCTACAAATTTCACAAGTAAAGATGACAGTTGTCTCATTTTAACTCTTTACACAATGAAAACCTTCTTTGCCTACAAACAATTCACTGATTCTGATACTCACCGACCATTCATCTTCAAATGCCCGAGATCTGCGATTATTTTGCACATAATCAGCAAAGTCTGCTACAATGATAGGTCTCTGGCTATGTGATGCAGGTCGCAGGGCAGTAGGAGGGGGCGCCTCACAGGAACCAGGGACCTCAGGAGGTGCTGATAGAGGATGAGAAGGGGCTTTCCCCTTTTTTTCCTTGTTCATTTTGGAATCCGTCTCATCACCGGCGGCAGTCAGGTAAGTCTTTTCTTCATATGCTTCATTATGGTTCTCTGCTGTCATAGATATTGAAGAGAATACTTCAATTTGAATGTTCAAGTGTTTATGAAAAATGTAATAAAAGGGCAAAATCCAATATTGATATAAAAGCACTACATGTAAAACTGGAAAAAATGGCTCATCGATTCCATGCAATTATCATTATGGTTCTCTGCTGTCATAGTTTGAATGTTCAGTTTGAATATTCAAGTGTTTATGAAAAATGTCATAAAAGGGAAAAATCCAATATTAATATAAGAGCACTACATGTTAATTAAGATAAATTGGCTCATCAAATCCATGCAATTTTCATTTTGGGAGAATATCAGCTATTGATGTTTCATGCAAAGTGTGATACTTACTGAACCGATGGGGCTCAAGAAGATGAGGCCATCAAACCTGTTGTCATAAAGACAGCCTGTATCTGATACAGTAGGCTTGCGGATGCACCATGTGAGAGAGAGGGAGGATTGAGGAGTCCTGAAAAGGACTCTCTGTAATCTTTCTTGAGGGTGTGTAGTCCTGAAAAAGACTGTTGGTGTAGTCTTGAAAAAGACTGTTGGTTATCTTTCTTAGCTTATAGTTCTAAGAACTATAGCGCTTGGAGAGGATGGTTGACTTGAGTGGCTCGACGTTTCAAACCGGTTGACTATCCGTCGAGGATACACTCATGACGACGGATAGTCAACCTGTTCGAAACGTTGTATTGTACATTGTATATCTACATCACCATGCAAGCTGATACTTAAAGCAGCATCTAGCCTGTATCTTGCTTTAATACGCAGGCGGGACTACCCGTGACTTATTTTGCAATTATTATTGCAATATTTCTGTCATTATTTCCATTAAAACCTCCATTTTGATGAGAATACTTACCTTGTTGTTCATCATTATAATCATTCATAGCTTGGGTTTCCAAGACGATGCGTTCTCTTCTATTGTGGTACATCTTTCGTCTTTTCCTGCATAAACATGTAGCAAGGAACAACAAATATATGGAAAATATTCACATACTTGTACATATATTCTATTTTTGGAATAATAATCAAATAATAATAATAATCACCGATATCAACCACCACCATCATCATCACCATCATTCTGCTGTGCGACAATTGCTCTGGGTCCATTTCCTGAACTGAATACTGAACTCCAAACCTAGACCCAACACTATACCTAACCCTAATTCTAACCCTAAACCTAATCTTAAACACCATCACAACCCTAACCTTATACCTTTGACAAAAATAAAGCTCAGATAAATTGTTGTAAGATTAATATCGGATCACCCATCATCATCATGATAAATCATGTTATCATTATCATTACATAATCAAAAACAACATCATCATTATTGTTCATATCCGATATGAACAATAATATTGTGATTCGCAACAAGTGCGCGATATCTATCCGGTCCAGATAGATACAATAACTTACCAAATATATCAATTAGTAGACGGTTTCCCGGCAAAATTTGTATCATCACGTATTAGTCAAAACATATTCTTTCACATGATTGGTAATAAGAGCTTCCATTTTATTTTTTGAGAGGGGGGTGTTTCCAAAACTTGTCTTTACCTTTAAATAAGAGGGAGCTAATTCATAAAACATTCATTAGCTAATAACAATATTTTGAATTGGATGCAAGACTGGACTGGTAACCAATGTAAATTTTGAAAGACGGGGGATATTGAATCATGTTTCTTACTATGTGTAACTACCGGTAGTCATTGTACTTGGTAGGATTCCTCCAAAAGACGCTGTAAACTACCGTATTTACCGGCGTTAAGGCCGCAGCGCTGAATAGGTCGCACCCTTGATTTTGACATTTAGTAGACAAAAAAAATAATAATAATAATGATTTAAAAAATTGTTTTGCTTTTTTGCGGACACCATAGGCAGCAAGCCAGATGCCGTCTTAATTCAGCTTTTTGTCCGGCTGCAGTTACACAGTCGATCATGTATTGCGTCATAGCATTTCATTTATGCTACAACGGTCCATTCTATGATACAAAGGTGGAAGTATTCTTCCCATGAGGGCAAACAAAATGTATTTATGAAGCACCTCCATGACATTGGCAGTGATTATTCTAAAATGAAGGAAATGGGACTAGCTTCTCCATATCTATAAGATGTGTGGTTATTTGGGGTCTTTGTACCATGTAGTAACTACAAACTGGTATACTGTATCAGAGTATTGAATTGTTACATCTACCCAGTACTTATGTATGGTAGTGAAACGTGGACTTTAGCCTCTGATACTAAAAAGCGTTTGGAAAGTTGCGAAATGTGGTTTTTAAGAAGAATGATGAAAATTCCCTGGACTGACAAAGTTAGTAATGAGGAAGTTCTTACACGAGCTGGAGTGCAAAGGAAAATGATACGTGAGATGTTGATTAGGCAGTTGAAGTTCATGGGTCACATTACACGTAAAGAAGGCCTAGAGAATCTTGCTTTGACAGGGAAAATTATGGGAAGAAGGAGCAGGGGAAGAAGGAGGATACTTTGGATGGACAGTCTGCAGAAATTGTTGAAAGAGAGAGGAGTGAAAGAACTGGAAGTGGTACTAATACAGAAGGCTAGGAACCGAGGGTTGTGGAACAGGATGATTGCCAAAGTCAATCGATATGGCACTTAGAGAGAGAGAGTTTCATCGTTGCCAAAATTATTATTAACACCATCATCATCATACTCATCAAAATCATCACCATCAGTAACTTCCTACCCACTATCATCTCTTACCTTCTCTGAACCCCAATGGTAACCATGATAAGAATGATGATGATGATGCAGATAACAATGACTACTGGTATGATGATGTAGAGGAGTACTTGATCATTGGTAGGAAGAGCTAATGTCACTCCAGAGGCTGTCGTTGTACTTGCTTCTGACGTTGGCACGGTTGTCATTAGGGCTTTATGAATACAGAAATTATGAGTTGAGAATGTTTACCACTCACTATAATAGACTGTAATTCATTCTACATATTAAAGATAAACTTTAGTTCTGGTAATGCGATTACATTGTGAAAGAAAAGGTGTGGAATGGATCAGAAAAGTTGATCATATAGCATGTAAGTAATGGTGTGTAATGCAAGGTTCTGGAGTCATCAAAATCATCATAAATTTGGCAGAGTCTTGGTAAAGTAACAAAAACTTACACAGAAAGATGTATATGGGACAACACACATGGTGTCGGGGCTAGTACTACCCTGATTTCCTTATCTTTCTATGCTTATTACTCAGCCAGTATACATTTTCTTCCAAAATTGTTTGGCACATGACATTTATTTGTAATCTTGAACATTCAGTGTAAGTTTCGTTAGATTCTGTGAGAATTCATTTTCTTTTTTTACCAGAACTCAAGTTTATCTTTAATACCAGGATTTAAGTTCAATGATGACTGATAACCTTTTAAAGATTCGACATAGGATTTACAACTGTTTGCAGAAGGCAGAGAGTAAAAATATATCCTTTGGCAAGACATTGATCTACATTTGCCACACTCAACCCAGGTGATGTAAATGGGTACCTGGCAAGAATTAATTCCTTGAAATGCTAGAGAGCCGCAGTGGCTGCCTTGCTAAAGCCTGGGTAATAATCAGGGCAGCGCCAGGAGCGTCACAACGTGACGGACATGTGCGCTCTATAAGAAGCCACCATTATTATTATTAAATGAATATCAGCACCCTGTCCCAAGGTGATTATTTAGTTTTTTGAAAGTTTGCCAAGCTAAATATAATATATTCTTAAGTTAATAAACTATCACGGTAACCCTAAACCATTAAGGGCTTGTTACGAGATAGATTAGGGCAGCATTTTTCAACCAGGGTGACGCAAGACATCTGAGAGAGCAAGACATCTCCATTATTTTGGAATAACATCCTTTCATGTCAAACACCATAGATGAACAGCCGCTAGAGTGTGTAATTTTGTGAGGGAATAGCATTTCCAGATAGTAAAGGGTCTTTCTTTCCAACTCGCATTATTTCAAAAACAGGATGACTTCAGGCAGCGAACTATCTAAATACATCCATATTTTAGCAACAAGGTGCCCGAATATCATTTTATTTGACAGCGACGTGCCAAATAAAAACATTTATCTTTTATATCAAAGTAGTATTTTTGCCATGTTTGGTTCACTCGCTCGCAACTTTTAGAAATGGAAAATTCTGAGCGGAGTCGCCCAAAGATTCTCATATTCATTTATATCTTAATATCTAGTGTTGATTACAAAAATTATTTTTAACATAACATTAAACGTGTCATTTTTTTGTGCTCGTAAGTGTGTACATGGTACTTGACAAGTTTCAGATTGAAGCACAATCAATATTCTGTGATGAATTTGGGATTGGGATGACGCAAAAAGGGTGACATGACTGAAAATGGGTTGATATATGCTGGATCAGAGGAGATATCAAGGAACTGACCTGGTAGTGTTACTGGTTGTGAGGTAGGGCCTTTAGGTCCCTCTCCCCCTTCTCCTTCTCTCACTGCTGCTACAGAGAAGCTGTATGTGATGCCTGGTGAGAGGTTTATCACAGTGTATTCATAGCGTCCCATCATACCACTCTCATCAGATGATACAAACTCAGCCATCTGCACACTCCCATCAACCTAAAGACATTATAATTATAGTAAATAAATGTAGTTTCTATAGTTTCTACATCAATGCATATTTACATATAAACTTACCAGATGTGTTTTTAAGGCATTACTGTCTCAATGGGATTGCCAATGTTGATACATGTAGGAAAGAATGAAATAAGAAATGGCTACAACATGTGTGCACATAAAGATACCAATTAGTCAATAATCCATATTTATAATAGTTCATTCTCTATAATAAAATGTATATCTTTAAAAGTATTTAATTTTTGTATTTCCTTTGCTAAAAATTACCAAAATTAAACTGCAATACAGAATACATGAACAATACAATTTAGAGTAAAGCAGAGTAAATTGAATTCCAAAACAAAAAGTTGATATAAAGATACAATATGAAATATATACATGCATATGAACATTGCTCATACATGTACTCCTTATATAGAATGCCAGGTAGAGGTGTTTTTTAAAGTTTATACATTAGTAGACTTTTACATTCATTCAGTTTACGTATAGGAATAAATAAGTGAAATAATAAGCTTCACTTACATGATAATATACGATGTATCCAACAATCGGACCCTCTCCCGCATCTAGTGAACTATTCTCTGCTTTCCAACCAAGCCAGTCAATAGTAGCATTCTCATTAGCATAGCTAAGAACAGAGGGAGGCATCGTCAATGTTGGAAGAGCTGAAAGTAAAAATAAGTAGATAAAGTAAAGATATACATGTATGTAGCATGTATTGAACAGGCGATCGCACGGCCTTACCATGGCCTTGTATGCAGCAGCAGTGTAACTGGCAATACGCGGTAAATCTATGCAAAAAAGCGAATTCGCTACTCGATCGGGCAGCCATTCAACACACCCAATAAGGGAACTCTCAAATCGGGGCACATGGCAAAACAAGACAAATTTGGCTTTAAAAATAAGAAAACAATAATATTTGGTCATTCAGAATTTTGAGGTTTTAAAAATTCAGAAAATTGGAACAGTTGGCATGAATGCATTAATTTCACAGAGGAGGATCCTCAATACATATTCCCAATGATGTGTACTGTTTTAATTGCAATCAAATTTATGTCATTGGGGACATAAGCTAGATTTCGGAACTCATGCAATCTGAATAAGTATCTATTTTAATGGAGAAAAAGAAGTTAATTTTAAAAGTGAGAAATAAACTCAGAAAAAGCAGTCAGTACATGTTGATGTCATTTACATTTTGCTCAAACTGATACACCAGAAATCTCACTACACCAGAAATCTCACTGCATCTAACTACAAGACAGTACAATATATTACAAAATGTTTTGAGGGGAAAGTGTGGACAAGGTATTTGTTATAGAATAAAGTTTTGAAAATTGATTTTACCAAAATATTCAAGAGGAACTCCCGAAGAAGCAGACAATCCACCAGTAGATATATTACAAAACGTTTTGAGGGGAAAATGTGGACAAGGTATTCGTCATAGAATAAAGTTTTGAAAATTGATTTTACCAAAATATTCAAGAGGAACTCCTGAAGAAGCTGACTGTCCATCAGTAGATATATTACAAACTTTTTGAGGGGAAAATGTGGACAAGGTATTCGTCATAGAATAAAGTTTTGAAAATTGATTTTACCAAAATATTCAAGAGGAACTCCCGAAGAAGCTGACTGTCCATCAGTAGAGACTTCACAGTAGATTACAGTCTCTCCATTAGTAACTATAAACGTCACATTGAAGAGGTTTCCAACCATCTCAATGTCGGTGGAGTTTACCAGAGGACCATCAGCTGCACCAGGCCTGACCGACACGGTCAAGGAAGACATGCTCTCGGGAGACTGGAATACACACATCACACTAACAGGTTGACCTTGGTTGACCTTCTTATAGGATGAGTGAACAACACCTGTAATGAAGAGAAATGACATGGAAAACATTATCTACACATCAAAACTCATTAGGCCTGTTTTCATCAGACCGAAGTTGCAAAATAACCCGCTATTTTAACTAGCCCGATCTCAAATTAGCCAGCTAATTTGCGTCTTCATCAGCTACAAACTCTACACTTTAGATGTTTAAACAGTTTGCTTTGATCTTTGCTTTAAACTACAGAGTGTCATTCAATAATATCACTTACATGAAAGCAATTTTTTTTTTTTTTATAACTTAAAAGAAAACATTTTTTAAATAAAGATTAAAAGAAATATCCCTGACCTTTTCAGTGTTTAAAATAAGAGGATTCTAATTCATTTTACATCCGAGAATGGGATATTTTACATGTATTTTGTAAGTTTTAGTTTTTGATACTAGTATAACAATCATCCTTTACCACTATTTGTATTAGGAGGCTGTTTAAAAAAAAAGACTACAATGTAACATTTCTTTTACAAGTTTCACAACTCAAAACTTCTTAATGATCTTAAATTAACATTTTTTAACATTTATTTTAATTTGTTGACCGATTGACCAATTGATGGATGGATGGATGGATGGATGAATTGATTGATTGATCTTTACTCTTGCTGTGCCTATACCACAGGTGAAAAACAGTATAGGTTTCATGTTATTAAAGCAGATTGCACATTGCTCTAAATAATTGAGAATTTTTTTGTTTTCGTACATAAATTACTGAAAGTAGAAAGTTGCTCAATTCTCATAACGGCAATGACGATGGATTTTGGTTTTAAATTACTAATGTTATTATAAGGGTGTAGACAGTTTGAAGTGGATTTGGTATACTATATATCGAAGGCCACATAAAATATTTACCTTGTCTATTTTGTAGATACATTAACACGGAATTAATGAAAAAAAGAAGAAAGATATCCTCATCTTTGTACATAAATTTCTGAAGATAAGGAAGTTGCTCAATTCTCATTACGGCAATTACCGTGACGATGGATTTTGGTTTTAAATTACTAATGTTATTATAAGGGTGTAGACAGTTTAAGGTGGATTTGGTATACTATATCGATGGCCACATAAAATATTTACCTTGTCTATTTTTTAGATACATTAACACAGAATTAATGAAAAAAAGAAGAAAGATATCCTCATCTTTGTACATGAATTTCTGAAGATAAGGAAGTTGTTCAATTCTCATTACGGCAATGACGATGGATTTTTGGTTTTAAATTACTGATGTTATTATAAGGTGTAGTCAGTTTAAAGTGGATTTGGTAAACTATATCGAAATCAAATATTTACCGTGTCTATTTTTTGAAATACAATAACACGGAAGGTAAAAAAAAGAGTTAGCAAATAAGTTAATGTTTTCAATAAACTTTGTGTGCGTGATATAAGTGAAAAACCTGCTAAAAGATGTTAGGAACACGATTAAAAAGAAAATGATTTTATTCTCAGTGTCCTGTTGATGATATATCTTTTGAAGGTTCTCTGAATAGTGCTTTTAAAAAGGCTTCAAATTATTTTCATTTTCATGCTTATTATCTTCACAAATTAATCCTTTTTGTGATAATTTGAAAATTGGCACATTTACAACCATTAACCCTATTTAGCCCGGGGGGGGGGGGGCTTCTAAAGCCTCGACATTTTTCGCGATAATTTTTTAACGCAAGAAAATCTTGCACTGAAATTTTGTGACTTTTTTTCTTTCGAGTCTTGCACATAAATCGGACCTACCATTACAAAGCCACGTGTCTTTTTGTATTTGCATGTCAGCCTGAAAATCGCTCATTTTTGTGATTTGTGTACAAAACATATGGAAATCTCATTTTTCAAATAAAGAGATAAAACATTGGTTATTTGGTCTTGTTTATAGTTGAGATGTTTATTTTGAGGTCAAAATAGTTGAATTATAGTTGGAAATGAAATAAAACAACAAAAAAAATAAAATACATAAGTTAAAAAAACAAATACATAAGAAATTATTAAAAAAATGGTTTTTCAATTTTTTGTGTTGTATTATTATTCCGAATGGTCTAACAAATATATGTAGTGAGAAAGAATGCTTAAATATGAATAATGTCTGATTTATGGGCAAAAATGTGAATTTCATGACCTTATTTGCATAAATTACCATAAATATGCAAATGAGTGAATTTTTCAAAAAATTGAAATTACCATAGTATTCTATACACTTCACTTGACATGTTTGCGGCGATCGGTCGTTTCACGGCCAAGATCATAGGGAGGGGGGGGGGGGGGGGGGGGCCTTAGAAGCCCCCCCCCCCCCCCCACCCCCGGGCTATGCAGTTTCAAAATAGCCCGGGCTAAATAGGGTTAAGGCCTCTCAATGTAATGTAAAAGGAATTCATTTCATGTCAATCAAAGTTGAAAATGAGGAACTACTTATTGATGCCAAGATATTAATCGGTGATGTGATGCCGGAGATGAAGGACTGTGTCTTAGTGTCTTACCTGTTTGACATGCCGGTCCTATCCATTCTGATTGACATCTCACTGCACATTCTCCAGTTACATCATCACATGACGAGGCACCACCCCGACAGTGACAGGTTTTACTACAATTCTCAAAGCATCCCTCAACTGAGGAAGAAAAAAAAAGATAGACAAATATCAAAAATAGGAGTACAATACGCCTCTAAGATATAACATAAGCTACATGTACAAGAATAATATACATACAATATAGAATGATGTATCAACTTTTAGAAAGAATGTGCTATAACATCCCGTCAAAACTTTAAAGAGGCTTATTTGAAATAACATGAAATGTACTCTGAAACTAGGAGGCGGAACTGCATCCCCCATTTTATTTTATTTTATTTTTCATTTTCCTTTCCTTCTCTATGTTCTACTGGCGCTGGGCTTTATCATAACAACACCCAGTACACCTAGATGAGTGCAGGGAACTATCGGTCATACAACTTGTTATCAATAACAAATGCATGACTTCAGTAGCTTATAACAGTTACTGGAACTTGTTCTTGATAACAAGTTTTATTAAACACAGACCAGATAAATAATGTGGTGTTGATTTCATTTCTATTCTGAATGGTTGGTGTAAAGCAAATTAACCCATTAACAACTGACTTTTCTCATTCTCCAAGGCTAAATACATGGACCACATGGTTCCCAGAGGCAGAGATGCCAACCTCTTGACACAAAAAACAGACTGAGTATCCTAAAAAAAAATATCAGATTTTGGAGAGAAAAATCAGATTTTCACGAAAACTCGACACTACCAATGGCCGGTTGGCCCCGGGCCAGTAAAATTTCAGAAAAATGTGATACTGGTACGTACAGTCAAGTAAAATGTTTGCTCTTTCATTAAAATTTTAAACGAAAATTGTAAAGCAAAGTTTTTGTTGGGGCTGCGGGGGTTTACTTGTTTATGTTTTAATGCGATTCCGTGGTTTTTATGGGTATTAAAGAATAAATTTTTTTATTATCGTATTCCACTCTTATTATCATACTAAATATGATTAAATCGTACTGGTGGGCACCTCTGCAGAGACATAAGGTTAATCTCAATACTGACCAGGAGAGAGAACTTACATGATTGACAGTCAGCAAGTTGAACTTGATTAGAAGCATAGCCAGGCATACATAGTCCTCCAGTATTGTAACAGTTACCACTTGTTTTATCACAAGCTCCATTGTCTAAACAGTGACACAGATCTGTACAGTTCACCCCATAGTAGCCCTCAGGACATGTTGCAGGAACTGTCAATACAACATGGAAAGTGTTATTATAAGCCTTCAGGAAGTAGCTGCAACAAGGGAATCGTTCGTTTGTGTCTCCTTAGATCAAGATAGTTATGTAACATTCCTTAATTAAATTAAATTAAATTAAATTAAATTAAATTAAGGTCTTCCATCGCCCGATTGCTGCAATGGCCATTTCATTAACAAGGGCCAGGTCTTCATCTGTGCAACCCGTTCCGCCACACTGCAAGGTGTGGTCCATGGTCTGAGTCTCTCCGCAGTCGCAGAGAGTATCTTCTTCATGGGCATACTAAGATTAAATACAGTCTTTAGGAACTACATGTACTGGAAGACAAAAGTATAGATTCAATACAGTCTGGGAAACACAGGGATGAGACAGAGAAATCCCCCAAAAGGAGGAAGATTAAATAGGGGTCTGGGGGCAATGCTCCTGGCTGGGGTTCAGGTTCGCGTTCGGGTTAGGGTAAGGGTTAGAAGAAGAAAAAGAAACGGTCTTGAAATCGGCGTAGGAATCTCATCCCTGCAAACATCAAAGTAGCAGACTAATTTGGTAAGAAATTTGGAATGCTCAAGCACCCAAGCCTACTCTTTGCTTGACCCTGTATTAGAAACAAAAGCTTCATGCAGGTCTTGACATCAAAAGGGCCCAAGTGCACAACAGCCTATATTTTCATTCTATGCTCTTCAATACAGATGTTGACATTGAAACAAGGGCTTCATACTGTACGTACAGTATAGATACTAAATAATTCAATCTGTACCAACTGTGAAACAAGTCTATGTATACAGTATGCAGTTCATGATAAAATATTTGACTCAATGATACGCAAATCTCATATGCCCGAATTCACAAAGGAGGTTTACATTTAACCCATTGCCTGGTGCGAGTCTAATATTGGACCTCTGACTGTGTTGCGCTTATTTTGCGCTAATTTTAAACCATGGGTTATGTAAATGAAGGTTTAAACCATGGGTTAAATGTAAACCTCCTTGGTGAATTCGGACCATAACGTTTCTTCAGCTCCACTCGCCATTCATATACACATAATATTTGTGTTCATTGTACTGGATGGATTTGAGATAGTTACCTTGACAATTTGATCCAGACCATCCATCTTCACATTGAGCATCAGAGCATTGACCAGTAAACCTATCACATGATGCAACACAGTGACAGCTCTCACTACAACCAGCTCCATACATACCAGCAGGACAAGCTGCAAGAAAATATCATAATATACACCAGAGCCCCGTTTCACAAAACTTGTCATCAGTGACAAGTGACAGTTTTTGTTATAAGCTACTGAAATCCTTGCTTCTGATTGGTTATCAGCAGATTTGTCACTGATTTTTGTCCTTTTTCATTGAAAAAAGGCTTTGTGAAAAGGGTCCCAGAGCTGCAAGAAAGTATCATGTATACACCAGAGCCCCATTTCACAAAACTTGTCATCGGTGACAAATGACAGTTTTTGTTTATAAGCTACTGAAATCCTTGCTTCTGATTGGTTATCAGCAGATTTGTCACTGATTTTTGTCATTTGTCATTGAAAAAAGGCCTTGTGAAACAGGTCCCAGAGGATCATGAGGGTAAAATCATTTTCCTCCTCCTTCTTATTCTTCTTCATCTTCTCCTTAATACCATCATTATTATCATTATAAAAAGGGATTTGTTTTTTGTTGTTTTGCAGTTATGAAACGGGAATTAACCTCAAACTACATGTTAAAGATAAAATTGAGTTCTGTTCATGCGATTGCATTGTGCATGAAAAGGTGTGGAATGGATTAGAAAAAGTTGATCATGTAGCATGTAAGTATTGGTGTGTACTGCAAGGTTCTGGAGTCATCAAAATCATAATAAATTTGGCCCAGTCTTGGTAAAGTAACAAGCACTGTACACAGAAAGATGTATATGGGACTACACAAATGGTGTCGGTGCCCGACACCTTGATTTCCTTATCTTTCTATGCTCATTACTCAGTCATTATACATTTTCTATCAAAATTGTTTGGCAAATAACATTTATTTGTAATCTTGAACATTCAGTGTAAGTTTCGTTTGATTCTGTGAGAATTTCTTTTCTTTTTCTACCAGAACTCGAGTTTATCTTTAATTTCAGTTTGTAGGCTACCTTATTAAAAATATTATCTGAAAAATATAAAATAATGTACATTTGACAAAAGTGAGGACGTAACTCTCCTAAAATTTACATGTACATGTACACATTCAATGATGAGATAGATTATCCATAAACCAAGTATAATGTCTATTTCATTCTGCCATGTATCTAAGCAATAACAACAGCAATTATTAAAGAAAATGTCTGTGCACATGCTAATGCTCTCTTACTGGCTTCCTATGATCAAAATATATAGGCATAATAAAATGAAACATCAAATTGACCTCCCACATGGATTCAAGATAAAGACCAGTTATGGTCATGCGATTTCATTGTGAAAGAAACGTTGTGGAATCGATCAGAAAAGGTTGATCATCTAGCATATAAGTATTGGTATGTACTGCAAGGTTCTGGAATCATCAAAATGATAAGAAATTTGGCCCAGTCTTGGTAAAGTTACAAGCAATGTACACAGAAAGACGTATATGGGACTACGCAACACTTGCGTGACACGTGCGTTATATCCATCAGGTCCAAATAGATATAATAATTTACAAAATATATCAATTAGTAGGCGGTTTCTCGGCAAAATTTGTATGATCACGTATCAGTCAAAACATATTCTTTCACATGATTGGTAATAAGAGCTTCCATTTCATTTTTTGAGAGGGGGGTGTTTCCAAAACTGGTCTTTACCTTTAGGAAACTAGAACGTAGTCATCACCTTTTCCAAGAGATTACAGATACATACATGTACAATGCATATTACATATTATAAAATCAATATTTGTCATTTGCTTAATAAGATGACTTCAGAACAGTTTATTGATATGTAGATTGATAAAAAATATTAGCTGAAATTCGCTTGTACTCACCTGAGTTACAGTCGTTTCCAGTAAATCCTGAGAGACAATTACATCCATACGGATCAGGAAGACATGCATGACTACCAGCGCACACAGCTAATGCATTGCCTTCTCCACAGGATTGACTACAGTCCCAACCAAACTTAGACTCACCACAACCTCAAATAAAAGATACAAATTGTGAAAACAATCAGATTGCCTAACAATAAACAAATTAATCTGTATTGTTCAAGTAACTTTATGAAAAAAATTTACAAATGAACTAACACATTGCCAGATTTATGCAAAAAAATTATTTCTTAAAAACAACCTTGAAAATATAGACTAAATACTTGTTTCTAATTTCTATTTCATTAAATAAAATCTAGTTTTAGTTTGTCCAGACATAGTACATCATGAATATTCTCAGTTGGATGTATCACCTTCATGTAGGGCAGAGAGGGTGGTGCATCAACATAATTCATAGCACAAGTCCGAAACATGTAAACAAGAAAGTACATTCATGTGTACCACTCACTATACATGGTAGAGAGAGAGAGAGAGACATACATGTGCAAATCATACAACCCCTTGTTCAAGGACATCAACAAAGGATTAAAACTGGATATTAGAAAGGGTACCAATAATAACTACATTTAACAATATATGTTGCAAAGGAATGTCAAATCAGCTGCAATGTGTGCAACTCTGTATACAAGAAGTATGTAATCATACAGGAAACATAGTATATTACAAATGGTGCCCTACATGTATCTAAGGGCATAAAACTTTTCCTTTTTTTGTAATCAGTGGTATTGCATTTTATGGTCATTCAGGAAGGAAATAAACTTGCAATAATCTAGAAGCACTCAGCTTATTACATTTTCATTTAAAGGTTATCAACATTATATATTGCATTTGCATTTTATGGTCATTCAGGAAGGAAATAAACATGCAATAATCTAGAAGCACTCAGCTTATTACATTTTCATTTAAAGAGAATCAATACTAGTGTGGCTATGAGGGATTATAAACCACACAGCGAGGTCACTGACAGGTGGCTATCTCATCAACTCAGCTCTCAAATAACATAGGAAATAGAGGATCACAGGGGACCAACAGGCACCGATTGGGGAATTTTTCTATATAGAGGGAGCAAGTAGCTACAAGTAGGACAGTGGGGCTTTAACATGATCATGTACATGTACATGCATCTGGATGTAAAAACAAGTTACTATGATTTTTTGTTTCCATCAAACAATTTCTTGTTGTCATTACCTGTTAGACAGTTAGGTCCATCGAAGCCTGGGGCACATATACATTCCCCAGTTACATCACTACACACACCTCCATTGTAGCAGTTAGGACATACAACATTACATGAAGGTGCACTGTAATAACCAGCTGGACAAGCTGAAAAATAAAATGAAAATACAATGTTAAATCACTAGTATCAATTCTGTTGAAATTCTGGTTTCAAGCAATTTACATTGCAGTGAACATATATTTATACTGGCATAATGTCAAATTTCATATTTTAGACAAAAAGAAACTGGCCATTTTCTCCATCTATTTATTCTTTTTTTAATATAATACATATACATGAAATGTTTCAACAGAAACAATGTTTGAATCAAGATGAAAAAGGCACAAATTGTGATGCCTCTTTTTTTCAGACCCTAATTTTTTCACAAATATTTTCCACAGCTCTATCAGAGCTTTCCTGAGCTAATGACTCACTGTCCTTCAGTGTATTTGGTTTTCACAAGTGAGTCGAGTGACACTATAAGGCCTAACAAAAAAAAATTGTATTGCCCTTTAGTTGCCAAAACATGGGTTGGTCGGTCGGAAATCCTTTTTTTTAAAAAACTTTTTAAAAATTGTTTTCCTTCCTCTTTGGGCTGATATTTCTCAGTTTTTAATGCTTGAATACAACATTTTATATTCTTTAAACATTTTTTTTTTAACTTTGAAAAAAGAAAAAACTTTTTTTTAAAGCCGACTAGATTTCAAGATTTTAGGGTCAGTTGCAAAGGGCAATACAACATTTTTTTTGTTAAAGATAAAGATCAGTTCTGGTCATCTGATTGCATTGTGAAAGAAATGTTGTGGAATCGATCAGAGAAGGTTGATCATCTAGCATATAAGTATTGGTGTGTAGTGTAAGGTTCTGGAATCATCAAAATGATAAGAAATTTGGCCCAGTCTTCGTAAAGTTACAAGCACTGTACACAGAAAGATGTATATGGGACTACGCACATGTGCGTGACACGTGCGTTTATCTCTCAGTTACCAATAGATAAACTAATTTACCAATTATATCAATTAGTACCGGTAGGCGGTTTTCCGGCAAAATTGTTATCATCATGTATTAGTCAAAACATATTCTTTCACATGATTGGTAATAAGAGCTTCCGTATCATTTTTTTGAAATTGGGGCATTTCCAATACTGGTCTTTACCTTTAAGGCCTAAGAACAAAAAGACTGGATACCTCTAATAATAAGTTTGATAAGGCTGTATCTGAGTAGTACTCTCTGGCCTGTCTGGAAGGTGCCATAATAATCAGCATCCTCTGGTTGTACATCTACTATAGTGTATGAAAGACCGCCCATCTGAACAGAAGTGAAGTCTGAGAAGCGTTGCCATTCCACCCCACTCTCATTCGCACCAACCAGATTCTCCACCGACAGTGTGATTGTGTCTCCTATGTTAGCTCTCACTGTTACACGTCCTCCGGAGGGCTCAAAGTCCCCTGGGGAAACACAATTATACATTGAAAAATAGTAAGTTTTTGAGGGATATTAGAATCCATGTCACAAACCTAATTCACACATGAGGACATTAGAGTCCGATATCAACCAACATAATGAGCCAGTCACTACAGTCAAACCTGCTTTAGTGACCACCTGTCTACAAAGACCACTTTTTGCGTAACCCCTTGAAAATGGTTTCTCATTGAAAAATGTACTATAGGAACCTGTCTACAAAGACATCTTACAAAGACCACCATTACCATTACCACCACCACCACCACCACCACCACCACCACCACCACCACTAATACTACTACTACCTCCACCACCATTACCACCACCACCCCCAACCCCACTACCATTACCATCACCACCACTGCCACCACTACTACTACTACTACTACCTCCACCAAAATTACCATTACCACCACCACCACTACTACTACAACTACTACCTCCACCACCATTACCATTACCACCCCCACCACCTCCATTACCACCACCACCACCACCACTACTACTACTACTACTCCTACTACCTCCACCACCATTACCCCCACCACCACCACTACTACTACTACTACCACCAGGAATGTATGGACAGTTGGACGGTGTCTTTATTAATCATTATTATTATTTTCTGCTGTGGGGGGGGGGGGGGGGGGGGGGATATTTATGAAAAGTACAATTAAAAGTATGCCAGTGGTGGCAGGTACATAATGTACTCAAACCTTGTATCTTATAATCCTTCCAGTAGCTTATTATCCACAAGACTACAAAGGTCTAGATAAAGAGAAATCTAACTTACTATTGGAAGCATGAATGATAATGGTTGTATCTTGACCATCTCCAGTAGTGTCCGTACCACGGAATGCTCCTACTGCATTGTTATTGTTTGTGCTTAAGAAGTTAAGTGTTGTTGAGTCATATCCATAATTCAATGTAGACAGGTTCTCTAACGATGGATTGCTGCCTAGCTTGACAGCTCTTATAACAGTGGAAGTTCCAGACTTTGTAAGGAAGGCAAACCTCGCTTCCTGGCCAGCTCCATAGGGTGTAGAAGTAACACCTATAATAGAAATGCTTTCAACTGCAGAAAGAAAAGAAAGTAAAATATAAAATACATAAATATAAATTATTTCAAAACATTATCACTTCATTTATATCAAAACTGCACTAGATTTTTACCTTTTCAGTTTTCCTAAAAAAGCATTGTGAGCTGAGTCGGAGTCCTGGTGGTCGATGTACTTAATCGGTGAGCAACTACTAGAAAAATATCACTAAGCGAATACATCACGATATGAGAGTGGGAACCTATTCCCACCAGACCCCCGAACAACAATCAGCCTCAAGACAGAACTGGGATTGATCTGACATCAATGACAAAGATGAATGAATTGAAGGCTTGAAACGCCGCGCGTACATGTAGAACTTGCGCATTGAGCGCTGTACAGTCAGTTTACGCGCTCCCATTGGCCGATCCACTCGAGTGGCTTTGAATTTAAGTGAGGGAGGGCCTACTTAAGCGCAACTTTAGTCTAAGGGTAATGCCAATACGTAATATTACATAACACACTGACATGTCATGCTTTGAACAGGTGATGCACTTCACACATAACTGATGCACACATGGCATTGCACACACATAAAATAGAAAAATCAACGAACATTTCAGAAAAAAGTTTGAGTTTGTACCTTAAATATTACAAAATAGTTACATAAGACTGAAACTTAAGTGAAATACTTAATCTTTTAAGGATGCTGAAAAAATTGTAACAAATAGTCTAGAGGCCGGGTTTGACTGAAATATCATAATTTTGGTATCAAATGAAATGGAAAATTGTAAACTTGCTCCCTGCACAAATATCTTATAAACATTGACTGAATGGAAGCCAGCGATAGCCAGTAAGAAGGGCCCTTGTCGGCGCGAATTTAGTCAAATGAGACAGCGATTCGCCGATATCGGATGACCGCAGACATGCAAGTGAATAAATGAGCAGCCATTGGATTTTTTAAAATAAAATTGCCTGAACTGACGGCTTAACACCCTCTTGCATACGTTTATCTGATAGTGATACATACATTTATTGTTGAATGCAAAATCAGAAAACAAAAGTACAAAACTAAACATCAAGACCCACTACTATCTACTTCTAGTTCTATACTACCCCCTACATGTAACTCCAGAAGTGCAGTGCAGGGCCAGGGAGGGTAGGGAGCTCCGCCGCCGCCCTTGGCGTCGGAGCTCCCTGGAGTTACCCTACATGAGATCTAACCTTTGGGACCGTGCTGTAGCAATCGCCACTGGTTATTGAAATTTCAGTTGCGCCATCACATATATCATATAACTCTCTAAATTTCAGTGAGAAAAACGATAAAATCAACTTAGATTAAACTATGTGTGAACATTTTTTAAATAAAAAGTTGTTTATGAAGTTTACCTGGTACAAAGAATATCCAACTGCTCAAAATCAGTAAAAATATCACCCGGAAACGGACTACCAGTTCCATGATTTTGGATTCATTGTCCGTAATTGAAGATGAAGTGCTAGCTATATAGCTTGATCCCGGGGGGGGGGGGGGGGGGGGGGGGCACTCGCATACATATCAACCAACCTCTGAAATATCGAAATGGATCCGTAAGGGCGTATCGCACCTTTTCTGAAATGACCCTTTTTTAAAGAAAATGTCGACGACGCTAAACCTGTGAATCTGAAAAGGTCCCTTTTTTCGGTTTTTGTGCGATCACGACGCTTTTTCTGGACGCGCGGGTGCGTAGCCAGTCATGTTGGGAGTGACCCCCCTGGGGCTGGATCCGGCATGCAGTCAAAATCTTGGTGTCACCGAATAAACATGAGGAAATATTTTGTGTGTTTAAATCTAGTCACTAATATAAAATATAAAAACATTTTTTTTTTTTAAATTTGATAATCAAATAATCAGAACAATTTGTCCGGACCAAATAATGCCTAGATCTATACAGAGTCTGGGAATTGGTTCCTACAAATTTTATTGATAATGTCGGATTATCGAGTAAAGATAAAAAAAAAAAAAAAAAAAACATTCAAACCGTTTAACATATATTTCATGCTTTCCCGTATGGAGCAGAGATTCTCGTTGAACAAAGTAGATATAGGTATTATTCCGGGGTATTATTGCATGGTAGTTGCCAATATTTGAATTGATATATCACATTCAGCAGAAATTCATTCATATTTCATTTTGTCATATAGATCGTCTCATGGAACTTATGATTAAATTTATCATGTACGTGCAGGATCGGATCCATGCAGAATTGTGTAAAAGAGAGAGTACATTTTTAAGTTGCATTGCATACTTCTTGTACAGCATGGTCATAAAAAACTATGCGTCGTCGAAACGAACAGAACTAATTGTTATGATATTTCCTCGCTCATTTTTCATGATTGAGGTGTCATACGAAAGGGCAGAAACTCAACTTTCTGGAAATGTGATTTTCTCGTTGAAATTCAGATACAATTTTTCTCGCCAAATGGTTTCCTCTCTTCAAATTGATTTTAATCACTCATGCGTGAAATATGCATTATATGAGATATATCAAATGAAAGAGGAGGATCTAAGCTTTATAAATATGTGTCATTTATCAATTATAATTGTGATTAAGTTATGATAACATATCGATAATTCTCGGTTCCGATTTTTCTGGGATGCACTGTATAGGAAGGGATAAAAATATCTAAAATGATATGAAGGAGAATAAATTGGAATTTTTTTTTTTAAAGAAAATGAAATGAGTGTAATCAATTTGTTTAAAGAGATAAATCAAACTATCGTAGGCCTATCACATGGCTACGATATTTTGTAGTTATTTGTCTTCATAAACGTGAGTATAGGCTTTCACGTAGCTATTTCTTTTCCACAGGATGGTCAAGAGCAATACCTACTACTTCCTCATAATTGTTGTATCATGACAAAAACGTTTAATCCCCGGTTTGTCAACCTCGCGAGTGGGGGTGGGGGTAATGAGACCACTAATGACATGATGAACTGTCGATCTCGAGAACCCTTTAACAAAAAAGATCAGATTGGAGACATGAGGAAGTTGAGAGACCGACATTAAGCTTTTTATGGGCTGTTAGCCATGATTACTTTGCAAACTTTCATCTTTACATGAAAATAATGGAATTGTTTAAAAAGATGAAGTTAAGGTATGTTTAATTGATTTTGTGGGATCATCAAATCATGGTTCTATAAGCGATACGCACATGTGGGTAGATTTTAAAGGACCATGCAGATACGTAACAAAATGTCTATATAATATACTATAGTAGTTCGTACCAGGAAGTGAAAATGCAGTTTACTATGGGTTGCTCAACAATACGACGGGATCGTTATAGCAGGGAGGTGAGGCCCTGGTTATAGGCTACAACAGTCAACAATGACCTAATTTCCTTGTGACGTGCATTTATTGTATACTTGTGCCTAAATTTTGTCCATTTGTTTTTTCTCCTTGTCTATTTTTTTCTGGCGATGTCTACTCTGCATTTAAGTTCCAGCAAACGGAACTCACCATGCCAACACAGTGTCTTGTACATTTCGTCTTTGAATGTACATCCACCATGGCAACCATGGTAATCATGGTATCAAACAATGACATACATTGTTTGATGACCCTATGTTTATCATTGTTTGATACCATGGTCGATAGTAATTTGGACAAAAAAAAACATGGTTACCATGGTACTTTTTTTTATAAGGGCATATGTTTATTGAATGATTATTACAATTTCATCATAAATCTCTATGATAACCGAAATGTTCGGGACCTATAACAATTAAAGGCCGAGTGTCCCTTTTGCCGTATCAGGACAATTACCCCCTGGGCAATCACACCCGGAAAATTACTTCACGGAAAAATACCCCCCCCCCCCCCACCCCCAAGCAATGTTACCCCCAGGAAAAATTAACCACGAGGACAATCTGATTTTCAGACCCTTGTACCGTATGGTCGTACGTACAAAGAGTCAAATGAGCTTAATTTTGGCCATATACAAGAAGTGGGTTATTGCCATGTACAAAATTGTGTGTACCCTTTACCGCTCATTTTATGTATGTTATTACATGTACCAAAGAAAAAAAAAAATCAGTCAGTCAGTCAGTCACTCAATAGTGTCTGACAGTGATATGTAGAAAGTAAACGGGTTTCCTTGCACAATTTGAATATAAGGACACTGTTAACGTTTGAATTTCACAAATAGGACATACATGACATATTCATAATTCCTGCAAAGTTCTACAGAATTTGATGTTGGCTGCAAAAGGGATGCACTAACTTTAAAGGGATCGTTTAACAATGTTAAATCTGAGATACACGGCCCTACGTGTTATAAGTGTCTGTGATATGGTGTAATATTGAATCCCTAAAAAAATTGCGCTTCAAAATGATCAAGAAGTGCCTCAAAAAAGTAAAATTCTTTGAGTGACCGGTTTTACCATACTCGTTTTCCCCAATAGACTGTAGTGTTATGAAAACCGTCAGGCGAACGGTTTTCAAAATTTGTAATTCCAATCATAAATATCTTGATAATCAGACGGGCGATCGGCTTGTAAAAGTCATGGGGTTCCTGACTGACCTAAAAGGTTTATAATTATCATTGCATCATGAGCTAAATCCAGAATTTTGTTTCAGAATCTGAGACAAAGTTACCGGATCCCTTTAAAGCGATGATTTATTTTGACTCCCTGGCTCTCTTCCTATTGCCTTAACGGTGCCAGGTAAAAATGTCAGAGGTAAAAATGTCAGAGGAAAAAATGTCAGAGGTAAAAATGTTAGAGGTAAAAATGTCAGAGGTAAAAATGTCAGAGGTAAAAATGTCAGAGGTAAAAATGTCAGAGGAAAAAATGTCAGAGGTAAAAATGTCAGAGGAAAAAATGTTAGAGGTAAAAATGTCAGAGGTAAAAATGTCAGAGGTAAAAATGTCAGAGGAAAAAATGTTAGAGGTAAAAATGTCAGAGGTAAAAATGTCAGAGGTAAAAATGTCAGAGGTAAAAATGTCAGAGGTAAAAATATCAGAGGTAAAAATGTACAAGCAAAAAAAAAATGAGTGCCGTTTTAATATCTCAGCACTTTTATCACACAGAATGTCGAGACGTAGAGCTGCTGCATGGGCTTGTCTATTATAGTCCTTTCTTCAATAATGTAAATTGTATAAAAGGCTGTTTGTTGTATTTCGTACATGTCCTGAGGATAATACAATGTGGAAAATAGATTTGAATTTTTTTTTTTTGTGATCAAGCTTGCATATAATTATATTATGTATGAATGTCTAACATTTTTTGATATTTTGAATTGGTTGATGTGTTAATGTTTGTGAAACGGACCGGTTTGGCCGGTGGCAGCCTACAACCTAGCCCGTGTAACGTCCCAGAGACGAACAAAGTCCAAACGAAGAAATGAAAGTTCTCGACAAAAGTCAAGTGTTAAAGTGAGTAGTGCATTTAGTACAAATAATTACATATAATCACGAGGAATCACGAAAACACGAAATTTTTTATCAAAATGATAAAAACTTTGGCCCAGTCTTGGTAAAGTCACAAGCACTGTACACAGAAAGATATTGATATGGGACTACACAAACATATGGCAAATCAAATCAGGCCTCATTTTAAAGCCGTTACTTGTCATACCTGGGATATGAAGTCATTTGAAATAGATTTTCAGGGAATAACTTTTTTCTTTGATGTTCTTCCACACTTGCATAACAAGAATGATAACAAGCGCTCACAAATTATTGTTCACCTTTCCCCAGAACTCAACCTTCTCTTTAATTGATGTAACATGGTCGGCTTTCTGCTTTTTATCGGAGTAACAAAGCTGCTTATTGATTTTCTCCCAGACTATTTTATACCGCAATAGTAATCGACAATATTTTATTGGAACGCGCGCACTTCGGGAATGTGATGGGTTAGCATTGATAACATGGCTTTCTGCTTTGTTTCAGAGTATCAAAATACCAAGCCCACAAGAAAGTGGAATTGTCGGAAATATGCATTTATTGGAAATTACATATAATAGTAGTCATTGCCACGCAGTTAAAATGTCCAACAATCTTCAAAAGTGAAGGAGAAGTGGGGGGCGGGGGGGGGGGGGGGGGGAGGTTCATAGATATCTGATCCTATTTCGGGGGCTGTACTGACTTTTATTTTCATTTAATAATTACACCATGCATGGAGCGACAACTCAGCCTATAAAACATGGCCAAACTTCTAGATTTTAGAAATCTTTTCCCCCAGAAGTTTGCTCAGTGTACTAATACCATTTGCTTTTACAAAAGCATAATATACCAGTATATAAATATTGAATAAGGCAGACTAATGGGCAGGGCTCAAATTAATTTTTTGTCCACGGGGGCTCTTCCCCCAAAAAAGAGCCCCCGTGAGCCTTCTCACGGGGGCTCTTTTAGTACTGACGGGGGCTCTTTTTTATACAAATTTCCATTGAATTGGTACCTATGATACTCCTTAATTCTTTGCTATTTCATTATAGTCAGCATTTTGCCTCTTACAAATTTACAAGCTACATGTACATAGCTGTTACTGACTTTCTTCTCGTTCTGCACATTACTTCCTCCTCATTATTCTGAGCAACCTTTACATTCTTTCTTTACTGAGCGATTCTGTTTTTGGTGCTTTTTTGTACAGGCGCGGATCCACGGGCCGATTCTAACGGCCCGCCCCCCTAGCCTCCCAAACCGGTAAAAAAGTAGGATAATAACGTAAATTTAACTTAACAACCCCCTCCCCCTGACCTGCCAGTGACGTACCACACTATGACATATCTTCTTCTCCCCTTGCATTAAAGAATGGAACAGTCTGCCTGATGATATAAAAAATAGTACAACTCTTTCTAGGTTTAGAAGGTTATCTAAAACGTACCTACTTGAAAGACTGACATAGTTTTTATTTGCATCTTAGTATTTTCTTATTCTGAAATGTTTTTTGACCACTAAGGACCTACTTGTCAGTGTGTGTGTGTGTGGGTGTGTGCGTGTGTGTGTGAGAGAGTATTTGTATGTTCTATATTCTGTAGCTTAGTATTTTCATCCATTGTATAATCATACACATGTACGTAACATTCTTTTTACTGTAAATGTATGTACTTTGTTGACTGTAGGGCCCCGCTCACAAGCTAAGCTTCTAAAGGGGTCCTAAAACCATTCAGTTTATTATGTAATCAAGTTAGAATATGTTGATTGATGTACTATTACCAGTCTCTTTATTATGTAACAGATTATATCATGCTTTGTGTGGTTTTGAATAAAATGAACTGAACTGAACTGGAACGAGCAAGAAAACAGATCATTAAAAGGGATTAAGCGACAAATAATGATTGTGATTCAAATATTTGTTTGAATAAGCACTGCTATTCACCAGAATCTTCTTTGTAAAAACAACTTTTACAAATCTCAGCCATGCTTACTGAGTTGAGACGTTCCATTCAATTTAAAATACTCATTGAAGAAATACACTTCTCCTAATGTGAAAGTGATCTTACAACACAGTGGCAGAATTGCATGGCTGAGATTTTTAAAAGTCGTTTTTACAAAGAAGATTCTGGTGAAAAGCATTGCTTAATATTAAAAAAAAAATCCTTGCATCAATTTGAATCACAATGATCGTTTTGTCCCATGATCCTTTTATTAAATAACCTTGTTTTCTTTTTTGTTTGCAGGGGGAGAAGAAACTATGTCACGTTAAGAAATCACAAAGATCAGTTGTATTATGCGTATATACATATGATAACAGAACAAAATGTTGATTATCAGAATGTCATTTTGGAATACCTCTATACAAATACCCGATCTTACTGTGCCGATACCACATTGTATTTAGCCCGTATCAGTATTAGTATGAGCCAATTTAAAGTTATTATTCTTTATTCAGTTCAGTATAATGCTTTTCCTCAAAAATAGTTCCGCTATTTTTTTAGGGTTGAGACGCTAAGAAATGGTTTCAAACGTACATTACACAAACCCTGAACCATTGCATAATGATGGTGGTTCTCTCTCTCTCTCTCTCTCTCTCTATTTATTGTAATCATGCATTATCATCTACATATAAAGCAGCAACACAAAACTTAGGGTTATCTGGGATAGGTGAAAGTGAGAGTTAAAAAAAAATAAAAAATTAGTGGTCCTCCTCTCCAGCATCCCCCCACCGCTTTAATATTCACCGGTCGCCTGAGTCTGCTCAAAAATGTTAAACCCCCTAACCCCCCCCCCCCCCCTGTAGATCTGCCCATGTTACCATATCATTCAACAACATCTTGGTCTTCCTCTTCTTCCCAATAGGGACTTTTAGATTTGCGTGGACGTGTTACGTCCTTTTAAGGCACTGGCAGTCACAATCATGTGACGTCCTTTTAAGCACTGGCAGTGCCTTAAAAGGAGGTCACACGTTGCAGTCCACGTTCTCGTCGTGCAAATCTAAAAGTCCCTAATTTTGGTTTACTGGTCGAGGTTCACTATTTGCTGGTCATTTGAAATCACCAGATTTCAGCGGGTATACGCTTTTCACGACGAAAAACTTCTCCATGACCATGTTTCTGCCCTTGCGCGATCGCCTCCAGCTCCAGCAGATATGGGGCGGCAGCGTGAACACGTACCGTTACTAACGGCGCAGTAGGCCTATAACCACTGCTGACTGCAGCAATGCACTGCGAGCTGAATCGTTAATAAATACTCATATAGAACGAGAAATCTTGCACGCTAATCTAAGTTCCATTTCATTGGTTTAAGGTTTGAAAATTGAAACTCAATATTGTGTTAAAGTTATAACAGAAAAGATAATCTTTATTTTATAATTCCACGGGGGCGATTTTAAATTTTGCAATCGCCCCCGTGTATTTTGAGCGCTGCTAATGGGACATGCATGGTTGCTACTCCGAGTTTCACGCCTTGCAAGCGATCATCAGACAACTGATAGCATTCTTCAAAGTACATGATTCCTCTGCACCCTTGGTACAAATACACTCAAAATAAGACTTAACTAATACAATACCTGAATAAAATATAATAAGAATTACTCATGAGTAATTGTATTTTATTAGTTAAGTCTTATTTTAGGGGTATTTGTACCAAGGTTGTATAAGATAATCATGTACTTTTAAGAATGCTATCAATAATTGCCTGATGATTGCTTGCAAGGCGCGAAACTCGGAACAGAAACAATGTCCCATTAGTCTGCCTGCTCTGCCTAGGCATTGACCACTGTTCAGAAGGATATATAGCAAAGCATAATATAAGAGGAAGGGGAGAGCAGCCGGGTCACCGTGCCCCAGAAGAAGAATACCCCCCCCCCTCGTCTTCCTTCGGCAATAATCGGGCAAAAAGTCACAATTTGGGACCGAAAGGTAAATAAATTTTAACTGGGAAAGTAGAAAATAAAGCAGCGGTGAAATAACGACTGCAGAATATCCCTCGCTGTTCTTTTTCGATAAGCCTAATATATGGCCCGGGTGTAACCTTAACAAACTTGCCACATGATTTTGTTTTTATTTTATACCTCTAACATTTTTACCTCTGACATTTTTACCTCTGACATTTTTACCTCTGACATTTTTACCTCTGACATTTTTACCTCTGACATTTTTTCCTCTGACATTTTTACCTCTGACATTTTTACCTCTGACATTTTTACCTCTGACATTTTTTCCTCTGACATTTTTACCTCTGACATTTTTACCTCTGACATTTTTACCTCTGACATTTTTTCCTCTGACATTTTTACCTCTGACATTTTTACCTCTGACATTTTTACCTCTGACATTTTTTCCTCTGACATTTTTTCCTCTGACATTTTTACCTCTGACATTTTTACCTCTGACATTTTTTCCTCTGACATTTTTTCCTCTGACATTTTTACCTCTGACATTTTTACCTCTGACATTTTTACCTCTGACATTTTTTCCTCTGACATTTTTACCTCTGACATTTTTACCTCTGACATTTTTACACCGAGCCGCCTTAACATGCAGTGGCGTACGCAGGATTTTTTTTCAAGGGGGGGGGGGGGGTTAAAATCAAAAGGGGGGGTTTCCAAAAAACATACATAAAACATACACATAAAAAAACTGTTAAAATGTATAATACTTTTATATATATTGAGAACTTACTGTAGTCAGCCTATACTAGGTTCTCAATATCAAAACCCTCTAGTACATAATGATTTATGGCCAACAAAAAAATGAACAGAGAATTCTCGTTAAATAAAGTAGATCTAGGTTAATTGCATGGCAGTTGGCAAATATTTGAATTAGTTTCTTTTACATTCAGCATCATTCAAGTTTCATTTTGCCATACATGTATATAGGTTGTCTCATCAAACTTATGATTAAATTCATCATTCGGATCCATGCAGATTATTGTGTATAAATTAGAGGGTTTTATTATGGAATTAGGTTGTCTCATCAACTTATGATTAAATTCATCATTCGGATCCATGCAGATTATTGTGTATAAATTAGAGGATTTTATTATGGAATGGTTTATTGATATAGTTACTTCCTGCACAACTTGGTCATTATACGAAATGTTTAACACTTATTATGTCGAAGTTTCGTTCGTATATCCATGCGTTTCCGAATCTTGATGCAGATGAGCAAAGAAAAGTGCCAACAGACAATTATGATTAAAGGCCTAGATAGGTAGGCTCAAGGTTGGGGAAAATTAATGGATGAAAAGAAAATATATATTCAAGTATTTTTTGGATTCGCTTTGGGAATCAAGAATTTTTGGGATTCGCGTTGGGAAGTTCGACTGTGATAATAGTCGTCGCGGATTCACATAAATGCCCATTATGCTTGCTCCACCGACCCCCCCCCCCCAGCCCAGACACAACGCAGTCGAATAAAAGCTACCACAGAAATGTTTACCTTATACTGAAGAGTAAATATCTAAATATAATTATCTTCCCACAAAATAATAGCCCATTATTAGACCCATAGGAATTCGGTGATTACTCGCCCAACGAGCCAAATTGATCTAGTCGTGTGTGATATAATTCAAAATGATACTATCCAGATGCTGTGTTCAAAAAGGATAAACTCGGCTGTTCAACTCTTTTACGGAAGAAAATCAATTCTAGTTCGATCTGGACCTATACATCTTCCGACTTACTTTACTACGTATACAAAGAAAGGGAGAAATGTGCGATCGATTCTTCAGTTCTTAGCTACTCTGTCTGTGTATAGCCCTGATGCTTATCATTGCGTAGAGCATTCTATATTGTTCCTTCAACCTATATTTTATACTATCTCAGTATGAACAGAGAAAAGCATCGGGACATCAGTATACTCCATTCTCTCCGCTGGATATCTGCCATCATTTATCTTATTTCTACTCTGAAAGTAAATTTCTAATTGAAATATGTTTGGAGAAATGTTGCTGGATCATGAATCGCGCTCTAAGAAGCCTAGAACGCTGAAATCATTTACTGTCTATATATGGTGCTGGCAAAGACTTTCAGCAGAAGGTAGGTTTGTCATTATTTTTATTTTCCGATGATCACAAAAAAAGCTATTTTACTCAACTGCTTCTTATTATTATATTTGACAAGATCGATATTTGAAGAAGTGAGTATTACAATGATTACCGTACAGTGCTATATAGTTTAAACAACGTGTTAGCTGTTAGCAGTTCCTTCTAAGAACCAAAATATCAAGTAAGAGAGCTGATTCAGTGAGAAACGAAGATATTTTTGTTTGTTAGAAGTATAGTCACTAAACTCTATACCTATCAACAAAATACAAACTTTCTCGAGACGCAAACATCGGTCTGTGAAAATTAAAGTATATGATGAATGTCATAGCTTAATTGAGGATAACTTTTTAATAGGGCAATATCTATATCGCACTATTCATTTTTTTTTAAAATCTGGTTTAATTACAAAAATAGTTTCATACATTGTATCGATATGATATCCAATATAAAATGATTTGAATGACATGGTTAACGACTGAAGATCACAACAAAGAGCTATTCAGGAAAGGATTAATCATCAAAAAATCACAAAAATGTTATCCTATTGTTGTTTCTTGTACTTTTGGGGTCATATCGTCTAGACCTATGAATGATGTAGTGTGATACTCCAAACGGTTTATCTATAGAATGAAGAAAAATGGCGATCAGAAGGCGTCATGGACCTTGTATGTCTTCAGGTGGTCATGACATCATGATTGTTAATATACAGCGTGAGTCATTCACCACTATACGATATGCAAATCAGAACATGAAGCCGAAAGGGAGAGCTATAGAATAATATAGAGAAGAAATTTCTTTTTATAATGTGGTGTAGGGACTATTTTTTTCATTTTGAATGGTGGAACTTTGCATTTTAGAGCACTTAAAAGCCTCAACAGGGTGGTGCACTTTTACTTATTATTATACCGTGTGAGTAAAAAAAAAGTTTACACCTAGAAAATTGCTAATTATTTTAAAAACCATCTATGAACAGTAAATGATTATACATCTTAAGTAGAATTTACTTATTTTGCTGAATAAATTTTTACTCAGTTAAATCGAGTTACATTAACGTAAATAATTTAAGTATTGTAATCATTTTAGATAATTAAAAAAAAGCTATGGTAGGATTACATATTGCACGAGTTGGTACCCATCTAATCTAACAAGTAACATCCATTATTCATTCACTACTTCTATTTAAGATTTAACCGTATATATATCTACCACCATCACAAACTATTACATACGCTTCAATTCGACACATATTGAAAGGCTCCAAATTTTATATACTTGATCGTAGCATCTTAAAAGGAAAATTGGTTGACAATTTCCTGAAATATCAAGTTTTTATTTGTTTTGAACTGGGTAACAATTAAAAATTGTCTTGTCTTTGCTTAGCCATGTTAAATGAATTAGTAAATGTTTTAAAGTCCTTAAATTTTCATTCAACCACAAAAAAAGAATTGTTTTAAATAAAAAAGAGTTTAATTTGGTCTTAATGAATATTCATAAATTATGTAAATATTTCTATTACGCACTGCATCGGTCCTTACTTTAAAAAGATAAGAATAATCAACATAAATTGTTTGAGTAATACGTATAATTTCTGATTTTGAGTTAAAATTACTAAATTAATACAAGCTGAAATTACTTAAAGTTCTTATGTATTTGATTTTACTTAAATATTCCACGTATGTTCTACTAAATTGAAATTTTGAGTTAGCAAGACTTAAATTTAGTGCGTAAGTGGCAAAACTAATGTTTTCAAGTAAATTCTACATGGAAAAAATACGTAAAAATTACCAATGAACAAATTCTTTTTTACAGTGTACTGATTTGTACTCAGTCCAGATTCATAGTCTTCTAATTGCACACCCTACACCTATACTTATTCAGTGGGTCTATAAGTCTCACTTGTTATTGTTTTCAGCAAGAAGAGGACATTGGTGCGCTTGGCATTGGAATGCTACAGGATGCAATGTACATGTTATTCATTCGCTATCATTATTATTGTTTGAATACAATCGGATGACTAATAGAGAAAGTTATGAAACAGTAACAATAACAATTGGTACCATGTGTGGACTTGATTTTTGTTCACTGATTTAATTACCAACAGCAAATAAATACGGTATAGGCCTACAATTTTTTTAAAAACCATTCTCATGACGAAAATGGGAAATGAGAAAGGGGGAAAAGAAGGTGAAGAGAAAAGGATATGTTGATAGAGAGCAGTAGAGAGAGAGGGAGAGAAAACACAAACAGAAGAGAGTATGATATAATAAGGAAAGATGGAAATTGAAGAAAAAAAGAAGGTTTAAAAACAGAAAATAACCCTATGGAAAGTTGAAAATGAAAGGGAAAAAAAATAATAATACGGAAAGAAAATATAAAGGAAGGAGGAAATAAAGGATAACATAAGGAAAGATGGGTGAGAATAAGGGATGATGTATAAGGAAAAATGGAAATGGAAGATAGAAAGAAGAGAAGAAAAAAAAGAATAACATAAGGAAATTAGAAAAGGAAGGTAAAAAATGTTTAAAGAATACATAAGGAAAGATGGAAACAGAAGACAAATTAAAGAAGGTTGAAAATAAAGAAATATATAAGGAAAGTCAAAAAAGAGAGGTTGAAAGGAGGAGAAAAATAAGAAATAACATTAGCCGGAAGATAGAACAAAGTTGATGATAACTAAAAATATAAGGAAAGACAGAGAAAATAAAGAACAGCACAAGGAAATACAGAAATGGAAGAAAAGAAAAGAAGAAAATACAGAACATAGTAAAGATAAATGGAAAAAACGGAAGATGAATGAAGTAGAAAACAATTAAGAAGATACAAGAAGGAGCCATTAAAGAATAATGTAGGGAAAGATAGAAACGGCAGAATTTCAATTTCGGTGAGCACAGACCCCAAAATACCCCACTTGCTTGTCTGCTATTACAGACCACTTTCTTCCCCGATATCTTTGCGTATATAGAGCAAGCTTTATGCTGGTCATCCGAATTAGCAAGCTGGAGAATCCGGATGATATCCTTGTACTAGTGTGAGGTTCATGAGTTATTAATTGTGAAAATGGGAGAAAGATAGATACAAAAAATAAAGAATAACATAAAGAAAGTTATAACAAAATGATGAAAGGAGGTTTAAAACAAAAAATAAAATAAGGAAAGATGGAAACGGAAGAAAATAGAAGGTTTAAAACAAAGAATAACTTAGGGGAAGATAGAAATGATAGAAAAACAAAAAAATGATAATGTGGAAAAATAATATAAAGGAAGGAAGAAATAAAGGATAACATACGGAAAGATGGGTGATAATAAGTAAATATTTTTAAAGAAAAATGGAAATGGAAGATAGAAGGAATGATTAAAAAAAAAAGGAAAGATGGAAAAGGAAGATAAAAGAAGGTTTAAAAAAAATATATATTAGGAAAGTCAAAAAATATGTGTTGAAAGGAGGAGAAAAATAAGGACTAACATTAGCCGGAAGATAGAACAAAGTTGGTAATAACTAAAAACATAAGGAAAGACAGAGAAAATAAAGAACATAAGGAAATACAGAAATGGAAGAAAGAAAAGAAGAAAATACAGAACATAGTAAAGCTAAATGAAAAAAAAACGGAAGATGAATGAAGTAGAAAACAATTAAGAAGATACAAGAAGGAGCCATTAAAGAATAATGGAGGGAAAGATCGAAACGGCAGATAAAAGAATTTGGAGGTGGAATAACGCCTTTAACAAATGTGTATTTGTTGACATTACCAGAGTTTCAAATGGAGAATTTCAATTTCGGTGAGCACAGACCCCAAATACCCCACTTGCTTGTCTGCTATTACAGACCACTTTCTTCCCCGATATCTTTGCGTATATAGAGCAAGCTTTATGCTGGTCATCCGAATTAGCAAGCTGGAGAATCCGGATGAATGTTATCCTTGTACTAGTGTGAGGTTCATGAGTTATTAATTGTGAAAATGGGAGAAAGATAGATACAAAAAATAAAGAATAACATAAAGAAAGTTATAACAAAATGATGAAAGGAGGTTTAAAACAAAAAATAAAATAAGGAAAGATGGAAACGGAAAAAAATAGAAGGTTTAAAACAAAGTATAACTTAGGGAAAGATAGAAATGATAGAAAAACAAACAAAATGATAATGCGGAAAAATAATATAAAGGAAGGAAGAAATAAAGGATAACATACGGAAAGATGGGTGATAATAAGTAATTATTTTTAAAGAAAAATGGAAATGGAAGATAGAAGGAATGTAAAAAAAAATAACAAAAGGAAAGATGGAAAAGGAAGATAAAAGAAGGTTTAACAAAAATATATATTAGGAAAGTCAAAAAATATGTGTTGAAAGGAGGAGAAAAATAAGGACTAACATTAGCCGGAAGATAGAACAAAGTTGATAATAACTAAAAACATAAGGAAATACAGAAATGGAAGAAAGAAAAGAAGAAAATACAGAACATAGTAAAGATAAATGGAAAAAACGGAAGATGAATGAAGTAGAAAACAATTAAGAAGATACAAGAAGGAGCCACTAAAGAATAATGGAGGGAAAGATAGAAACGGCAGATAAAAGAATTTGGAGGTGGAATAACGCCTTTAACAAAGGCTGTATTTGTTGACATTACCAGAGTTTCAAATGGAGAATTTCAATTTCGGTGAGCACAGACTAGTCTGCAGGCACAGACCCTAATTTGACACTTAATCAAAAAATCATTGTGCCTTGAGAGAAGTCTAGTCCAGCTACCTACTGGTTGTGTCCTGTGTCAGGAGCAGCTACAGTACATGGCCTATGGTAGTCTTATAGTGCAGACTCACTTTAACGACTGACCAGGGTTTGTGCTTGCAGACTAGGTCCAAAGTGGGGTGAAGTTTAAATGGACTACTCTCGCAAACAATGCCTCATGTTCATCCAAGCGTGAACACATACCACACAAAAATGATACCAACTGATTTGGGATAAAACACTCTTTCATAAGATGTATAATCATTTACTGTTCATAGATGATTTTTAAAATAATTAGCAATTTTCTAGGTGTAAACTTTTTTTGACTCACACGGTATAGCAAACATCTCCGCTGTTAATGAACTGAATTGAAGTGAAGATTTTATTCATCTTTTCAAAATAAAAAATATAACAGATTATACTAATGTATATACCTGAAAATAAATCATTATGACTGTATGACCTGAAATTTATAAATTAAGTCTAATAAGTTATAGTTGAACATCGTGCACAAGTTGATAATCATTATTTCTTGGGTTATGAATGATCACAAATATTTCATATTAACATTAAAAATAACAGTGAAACTTTTACAGCGCTTAATATTACGTTTCTGAACGCTTTACATTTTTAAAATTTATTTCCCCTGTAACATAACAATGGCAAGGGTAACATTTTAATGTTATAACCATTTTTTTTAACTCAGTGTGCCGACTTTCGACTACGTTTCGACGCCGTCAATATTCACGTCATTTCGTCATCGCAGTCCTGTTTACGATTATGCTCTATCATCTGCTGTTATCGACGATCTCATACACCAGGCGACTGCGAAAAATTCCACCCACGTCTATTACTTCACATTTTCTGTTCCAGGGGATGCATGGAAACGTTGACGAGTACGTAATAAACAAAGCAGATGGTACAGTTTTACGTAATTATGCAGCACACTAGGGGTTGTTGCCTTTACCCCCCCCCCCCCCGCTTAATCCCTCGGAGAAACCATAAAACGGACGAATAAACAAAAATAGAATGATGTATAATAAGATATTAAGACAAAATATTTTAAGGCACACGGCAAAAGAAAAGTTTATGTCATTATAAATTCGTATTATTCATGTCAAAGTTAAATTTTTCCTCTACCTTGTGGACAATTTAAGTGAGTGGTGTCAAATATAGTTTTCGCACAGAAGTAATGCATTATGTAATTCCAATGCAAACAGACAAACGAAAGGTTAAGACACAGATCAATTTAATGATTGGTCGTAGTTCTTATTTCTTCAGTCATCTTTCAACGTGTGTGAATCCAAGGAACTCTATACTAGGACACTGCTAAATGTTCATAATTAGACCAAATGGACAAGGCAATTGTATTGATGGATACAAATAAAACGAAACCAGACAGAGGGTCAATGAATTCATTGTATTGATAAATATAAATAGAACCCAACCATGTGGCAAAATCAATATTTACATTGCTTGTTTCGAGTTGTTTAGCTTGAGGGTTCCAGTCTCTATCATCACAATGTATGAAAGGGGATAACAATCCCCTTTTCTATAAATATAGTATAAAAATATACACTGTCTTGAGAGGTTCTGGTTAAAACTATGAGCAAGAGGTGACTCCAATAGTACTATTTGCTGAGGGGCACAGCCCCGAAGCAAATGATACTTTTGCAGTCACCGAGGCCCATAGTTTTAACCAGTACCTCGAATAGAAGGCATGGGGTATTTGAAGGCATCAAAAATTTGTTGGCTTTTGATTGGTTGAGAGCTTGTCACATGACCAGAACTATTTTTAGAAAGTACTTTATGAGAGTACTATTTGGGAGTTGAAAAAAAATGTGATTTAAAAAAAAAAAAAATTTTGATTAAATTTTGTTTCTTCTTAAAATCTGAATTTAATGAAAACAAAATATTTTAAATCTTTTTTTGATAAAAATTGACATTTTTTTGTTCTAAATTTTTTTTAAAATAAAATAAATTTTGGATGCAGGATATAGTAATGTTTATTTGACGAGACCTTGCGGGAGAAAATTGGGTTTCATTTTTTAAAAGAAACATAATCTCTAAGTAGCCCCCCCCGCCCCTTAAAGGAAATAAACCAACGCCCTTCACCAAATCAGGCAGCAACTAAATAAGTGGACATAATTTACTGTAATGTTTATAAAAACAAGTTGTGAACTCTCAGATCAAAGTTAGTTCTACATTTTCTGATCATGATGACGACGATCATGATGTAATTGTTGATGTTGGCGATGACGACGATCATAATGATTGGTATGGTGGCGATGATGATAATAGCGATTGTGGTAATTATGGTTATGCTGGTGATGATATTAACGAAGGTGCTAGTAGGTTAAAACTAACGTCGTTCATTTTCTAAATATCTTGAAAACCTCATGTTCATCGTTCATTTTCTTTTGATGATTTGTAGATCCTTGAATTTTACAAAGCAAATATGGCTTTTCAACAACAGTGATGCAGAGCGGATTTATCTCTATGCGAATCTGCTACAAAAGCACCATTGGAAGGCCAGTCCACAACATCTTGATAATTTTAGGTAGGTTTATTTCTGTTTTATAACATCATTAGAGGACACGTTTCAGTGGCTGACCCAGGGGAGGGGGCACGTTACACAATCAGGGGCTCGTGACTTTCTTTCTTTTTATTCTTTCTTTCGTTCAGCTTGTCAGAGAATTAGGTGTCACAAGCGGCACACACTGCAAACTCTGAGAACTCTCTTCTGTTGTCACATAATTTGCGGACTTGTTAGCCCCCCTCCCCCCCACTCTAGAGAATGATCGATCAGCTGGTGCACTGAATTTTTGTACACACTAAGTTATTGTTGTTGTTTTTTTATTAAAAAAACGGGCAAATGATCGAGTACTTTCCATCTTGTGATAAGTTAAAACATAATCCATGTTTTTTTTTTTTTTTTTTTTTTTTTTTTTGGGGGGGGGGGATATTTCTAATCATCTTTCCCTCATGGTTGATTATATAATTGATTGCCTTCTTCTCAAATTTACATCAACCGAAACATGACTATTTGTACCCCCTTCCCCCCCCCTCTCTCTCTCTCTCTGTCTCTCTCCCTCTCTCTCTCTCTCTCTCTCCCCTCTCTCTCTCTCTGTCTCTCTGCCATACATCGGGGTATTCAATTAGTCTTTCTTATTTAAGGTTGAACAATTAATAAAGGAGCTAAGTTGCTCTTACATGTTTGTATCTAGACGTGAGCTGAATGCAGAGACCAATGTCAGTACAGATCGTGATCTCATCTTGACCCAAACCAATGTCCAGCTTGACCAAGAAATGCCATGTTACTACGTCACTAAAAGATTCTGGAAGCAAACAAATTTCGTGGCTACCAAGGATTTCATGTCTACATTGCCGAAGGTAAGATCATTACTTTCCATCCTGGGGGGGGGGGGGCGTTTCACAAAACTTGTCATCAGTGACAAATTACAGTTTTTGTTATAAGCTACTGAAATCCTTGCTTCTGATAGGTTATCAGCAGATTTGTCACTGATTTCTGTCATTTGTCATTGAAAAAAGGCTTTGTGAAACGGGCCCCTGGAGTTTGAATACTTTAAACCTTTCTCGTTAATCCATGTTTCAATTTAGAGATTATATATATATATATAGTGTAAAATAATTGACCAATGTACCAAAAATACGTAATGGATACAATTGGGCAATTCCAAGGAAATATTTCACCTGTTCGGGTTGTGTGACCATGACAAATTAAGTATGAAAGGCCCCCGCCCCTACTTCGTGAACGGAGGGATACCATGCGTGTTCCCAAACTCTCCGGCTCGTAACAAAAAAAAAAAAGGTTTACCCGTATTGACTTTACACACCGGACTTTTGCTGAAAAGGGGGGTGCTGTAAAAGGCTCGTATAACAAAAGAAAAGGGTCGACTTGTATTGACTTTACACACCGGAATTTTGCTGAAAGGGGGGGGGGGGGTCGCTGGGAACATGCACATGCGTACCCTAAATAACACTGAGTGGGGGAGACCACGCCCACATAAAATTCATATGTAGGATGACTTCCTCGCTGTCTGGCATAAAAAAGAAAATAACCAAACATTATTTCAATTAATAATTATCTCAAATTTGCAGTTGATTTTTAAATTTCTAAGAACTATATTTGTTTTTTCTTTTTGTGCGTTTAGGAATCACCACTGAAAGGGAAACGCTATGAGAAGTGTGCCATCATAGGAAACAGTGGATCATTGCAGAAAAGTACCTGTGGTTCACAGATAGATGGCATGGACTTCGTATTCAGGTATAAGAATCAAGCTTTACCATTCGGATATTCTAATACCATATATTTTGCTTTCATTTAAGATATTATAATAGACTGTTATTGCATATCAGGGCCCTGCTTTACAAAGCTTGTTTTCTATAACAACTGCTAAATTTCTATGACAAATTTGCTCTCAGCCAATCAGATGCCATGATTTCAGTAGCTTATAACAGTAGCTTGTAACTTGTTATTGATATCAAGTTTTATGAAACAGGGCCCAGTAATCAGTTAATATAGCCTTGTAGATCAATCATCAATCCTACCTTTTGATATTTGTAAACGAACATGTCAACGAATTAGTGTATTGTCAATGACATTTGGTGTTGAATTTCTTGCCATATCCTTTGCGATCGCGTCACATTTGAGTGCAGCCCCTCTTCGGCATCCGTCTGTCTCGAAAGACAATAGAATATTGCGCTATATAGTTGTACCAGGGCATGTGAGTTAAAGTCTCACCTCCCTGGTTGTACTAGTCAGTTTCTTGGTGTGCAGCTCCTGCTGTGACTGAACAGTCCAATCCTAGAGAGGCAGGTCCTGTTGCAGTTGCTGCAGATAAAAGTCATTTGTGGCTGTGCTGTTGGAGCCGTATAGCAGCATGCATATAATACTCATGCAATTATTTTTGAGCTTTTATACAATGCAGAATATAAAAAATAGGGCCTATTATGAAAAGTTACGTAATCATAAAATATTCTCCTCCTAATTTAGATGAAATGATAATGAATTAAGTTAAGATTATATCAAGCTAAACCAGTAAAAAAAACTCACCTTTTTATCAACACTTTACATTCTAAATTCCAACGTATGTATCAATTCAAAGATATTTTTTGTTGTATTGTTAACGACTTCCTTCGTGTTTATTCAATTGCAAATACATTTGCTTTAAATGTTGCATGATAACCTTTTTACATCGCAAATTCATGTTGATCTAATATATAATTGTGATATTATTCTGGTCAGCAATTATTGTCATTTGGTCTGTCGTATCATTATGCTAAGTTGTGTTGTTTTTGTTTTTATCTTAGATGTAATGGAGCACCTTTGGAAGCTTTTATAAGTGATGCTGGGAAGCGAACAGATTTCCTTTCTTTCAACCCTAGTATACTATATAAGCGGTAAGTCATAATTGTAAGAATAAAAACATTTACTGCAACAGTGCAGTCTTTTAATTTATACATAAACATTGTAGACTGAAAGAATATTTACCGAGTCATGTTTGATTCATATCCATATGACGCGTTCTTAATTTGTTATAAGATTTCAGACATCTCGACTGAAAGTTGTTTCGGTATTATGTAACTACGTGTTCTATTTGCATACAAATTAAAAGGAAGGAGACAGCAATGTGGAACTTTAACAGAGCTACGCACCATTGTTCTCTCATATTCATTTCTCATAATTATGTATTATTTGTAAGAGTGTCGAAAAATTTCTTTGCTTTCATTACATCATTATAAATACATTGTATATGTACCCTCAGCTCTTATTCTGATGTTCACGTTGCGTTTTAATGAGTTAAGTTTGTTTGAGCATAATCTTCTTTGACTCTGTATATGATCTTGTCTTTATAGATTTGGTGGACTTGTAAACGAGAGTATGGTAGAATCCTACATCAGCTTCATGAACCAGTATGATAGTATGGTATGGTATCCATGCTTCGGCTCCAGACAGTTAGTTGAACCATGTCTCAAAGCTATTAGTTATCGTGATCGGATAGATTCTCAACTAGTGATTGCCAATCCGTCACATTACGTCAGTATATGGGAGTTTTGGAAGAGGCGTGGTCTAAGGAAAAAGCCATCGACAGGTAAATTTTCACCATCGATAATTACTTCATAGTAGTGATTCATAATTAACATCATCATCATCATATAATAGTACGTGATAAACCTTATAGTCATCTGACAACATTTAATCATACTCGGAGGGAGGGGGTACAGTACTTGTTAAGGATAAAGGGCAACAGAAGGCGGGACTGATGCCCAATGCATAATATACAAAGATATAATAAATGGAAAAAATTGTCATATAGTTTTGTATTATAATCTTCAATTTAGTGGAATATTTCATAAGTGTTTAAATAATCTTGAAGGGGGCGTTTGTCCCCCCCCCCGTTTTTAAGGGCCTCTGTTTAGCACACATTATACAATTTTCTTTCTTACGATAAGTATTTTCTCAGCATAATTCTACACCATATCATTATGTCTTCAAGCCTATCGATAGATCTAGATATTGACTATCCAAATTGAATAAGTGTAATGATAGTACGTACATATTACTGTGGAGACCGCGTGTAAACGATACTATTGAGTTTTATGGCTCTATATTAATTAGCAAGATATTTACAGGTTTCATCTATTTATTCTATTACAGGTCTGTACCTGATTAACCTAGCTGCTACTATGTGCAATGAGATCCATCTCTATGGGTTCTGGCCTTTCCCAATCCAGCTACGTGAAGCAAGAGTCCAAGAAACAGCTTATCATTACTTCAATAACCTTCCTTTCACAAGTCACCATAGTTCTGATGGAGAGTTTAGAATACTCTTACAAATGCATATGCTAGGGACTGTAAACCTTCACACAGGAACATGTAAGCAGTGATGATAGAAGTCACTTCGGGTTATATGCCTCATCGACTATGGTGTCATAATGGACATGTAAACACCACGTTGACAATGCCATAATCAGGAAGCCTTGTAAAAACCTTCCAAAGCATAGACACTTCAACAAAGGGGAAGTCTATTAAACCTTTTAACAAGCTGGAATTAATAAAATCATCACAAAACAAGCTAAACTAACTAGTGAGAGGTTGAGCAATATTAAAAGTAGGACAGTTATGAATCTTTAAAGTTGTAATCAGTGAAACACAAATTGGCAACGTTGTGACGTATTGGTCTTCCCCAATGACCAAGCATTCACTTAGGGCTGTACATGTATATAATAATGATAATATTTTTTTGGTAACCATCACGTTGACATTGCCCAGCGGGAAGTTTAATAGAGACATATATGAATACCCTTAAAATATCGTTAACGAAATAATTATATTATTTGATGAAAATTTAGCCCAATCTCAAGAAAATTGCTTGTAAAGAATACCTCAGAAATCACTCTGATCCCAGTTTCACAGTTCAACATGATTAGATTAATCTCGAACTGATGTGGTAGCAATTGAAAGTGAGGTGATGTGGTCTAGTGGAAATGTTGCCGGACTGTGTACCACAAAGTAAGGGGTTCGAATCCATTGTGCATCACATATGGCAAGAAATTATTCTGCATTTGTCACTCAACCCAGGTGAGGTAAATAGGTACCTACACTGTAGTAGTTTTTTTTTTTAATGTTTGAGCACTGAAGTGGTTATTGAAGATACCATAGATACACCAAGTGTGGCATTGCACCAGACATGAAAGGTATATACAAGAACCCACTATTATTGTTCGTTATATTATTACATCATTCATCCACAGTTTTAAAAGATCGCTCACCTTCATCAATTGCATACCTCTATAAAGCTAAATTTCATAGAATGTCCCAGAAATTAAGACTGGCGTTGTCATTAAAAACGCCCTCCATGGATGATGATCAAATGTTGAGATGTAGTAAAACTGCTGTAAACTTTCCTGGGGCACCTGTTTCATGAGCTTTGCTTTTATCTGTATATATATTTAGAGGCGCCATGTTCGTCAAAACTATCCTGCAAGCATCTTGAGAGTATCTCAAAGTAATGCAGGGCAAAGAGGCTGCAACCCCCTCCCCCTCCCCCTCTCCCCCCATCCACTGCAACCAGTAATTTTAAATCACCAGTATATGAATGTTTTATCTGTGTGTGAAATCATCCGTATGTTATTTATTAAAACTGGACGAATGTGACAATATGTGAAATCAATATTCATTGTGATCTATCTCTATACGTGTACTTGTATTAGCATTATTTAATCAAAATACTAGAATATTCCATTTTGGGCCGACTATTGAAAACTCGGCTTCAACATCATTTGAATTGTTTTCTATTACAGTCAGAAGAGTCAACCTTCTTCTTCTTCTTCTTCTTCTTCTTCTTCTTCTTCTTCTTCTTTTTCTACTCCTCGCGTATGTCCAAAACAAAAACTATTAAATTTCTAAAGTACTGTGAAGCAGCCACTTTCTAGTGGTCTCTTCTACTTCCATCACCAGCCCAGGGATGTCGTTTGGTGGGTTTGAACAGGGGGTAGGTTGTGATGATGTGGTCATTTGTTTGCTTCTCTGCACCACACTCACAAGCCGGACTTTGTACCAAGCCCCATCTAAACATGTTGGCCTAGCTTAAAACGGCCGACACCACTTTGCAGACGGTTAAACTTTGTCCAAGTCTCGGTAAGTCAAAGCCTTGACTAGTAACCGTTGGATTGTGGATAAATCGCTGCAATGAGGATGGCGATTTGTGCCACTGGTCTGTCAAGAGTCAACCTGTCAAGCCCATCATACTAAACATGCTAAAAATGAATGCACATTTCCTTTGTTTTATAGTCCAAGATGAATAAAAATACATATAACAAAATCAAATCAAATCAAGTTATATCAATCAAACTTAACCGCCTATATCAGATCAAATCATGCTATTCAAATAAAGACCCCAATTCAGCTGGATTTCATCCCGCAAAGTTTAGCCTCTCGATCAAATCCTGCCATAAAGTATTATTGCTGTACATTACGAAAGGGTCACTGTGGCAGAATATTCATTTTTAAAGGGGTTGTCAGACACTGCTTCAAAGACCAACGTTGATATCACTGCCCCCAAAGTGATCTCTTTATAATTCCCAGGTCGAAAAAACAGTTGAAACCAGTAGGCAACTGGTCAACTGGTACCAGTTAAAACCAGTAGTCAACTGGTACCAGTTGAAACCAATACATTCAACTGGTTTAATATAGAAATTGAAACGACGCTAACTGGGACCAGTTGACAAACCAGTTGAAAAACCAGTTTATATCTGAGACCAGTTGATATATCCAGTTGATTTACCAGTAGATTTACCAGTTGAAATTTCCAGTTGATTTACCAGTTGTGACCAGTAATCAAATGATATTGTGATAGTCAATAATCAATATTTGCATGATCATGAATATGCGTAAGAAACATTGAACTGGTTTTTCAACTGGTAAATCTACTGGTTTTCAACTGGTATATCAACTGGTAATCATCTACTGATTTTCAACAGGTAAATCAACTGGTAATCATCTACTGGTTTTCAACTGGTAAATCAACTGGTAAGCATCTACTGGTTTTCAACTGGTAAATCAACTGGTAAGCATCTACTGGTTTTCAACTGGTATATCAACTGGTAATCATCTACTGATTTTCAACAGGTAAATCAACTGGTAATCATCTACTGGTTTTCAACTGGTAAATCAACTGGTAAGCATCTACTGGTTTTCAACTGATAAATCAACTGGTAATCATCTATTGGTTTTCAACTGGTAAATCAACTGGTAATCATCTACTGGTTTCCAACTGGTAAATCAACTGGTAATATAAACTGGTCTCAGATGTCAACTGGTATTTCTACTGGTTTCCAAATTGTATCAATTGGTATCAACTGGTACCAGTTGTGAGCAGTTGAGACCAATTCAAACCAGCAGATACCAGTTCGAAATCCTTACTGGTTGTTACTGGTATCAACTGGAATTTCGACCTGGGAAAGACAAGATTAATGTGCCTTTTACGTACTCAAGAGCTTGATTTTAACGTCAATTTAAACTTACAAATTGTAAATCATAATAATACCAAAATATAGTGTGTTGACATATTTACTAATGTTGGCTCAGAACTAGCTTCTGCTATTCCAACTTCGAATACAATTCGTGGTGATAAGGTAATGAAGATCTCTTTTAACTCATGTTTTGAATTTAATCCTGTTACAGAGGATGATGTTAAGAAAATAATCCTAGGGATGAATAGTAATAGGTCTAAAGGTGTTGATAATATGTATATGATTATGCTGAAAATGGCAATTCCTACTATTTCACCATCATTGACACTCATATTTAACAGATCATTATCTGAACACGTATTTCCCACCAGATGGAAGAGATCTAAAGTAATACCGGTTCATTAATCGGGTGATAACAAATCACAAAATAACTACAGACCGATATCTATTCTACCTTCGGTATCCAAAAACATCGAGAAACTCGTTCAATTACAATTAGCTGATTATTTGAGATGTAATAATATTTTGTCCGAAGCCTTCTTAGAAAAAAAAATCAGTCGACCATTACCACCCTGGTAAAGTAACCGATGATTCGTGACTGCTATAGGCCACGGTCTGTACACTGACACGGTATTTATAGACTTGCATAAAGCGTTTGACACCGTTGGTCCTGATATTATTTTGAACAAGCTTTCTATGATTGGTGTATCATCTGATTGTTTATCATGATACCCAATTCAACTCATCCACATCATCATAGTCGAATATAGATTACAGGGTTCCCCAATTATGTATATCGGGCCCGCTTATGTTTATAATTTATATTAATGATATTGTAAAACATACAAAGAAATGATCTGTTCACATATGCTGATGACACAGTAATTCATTTCTCTCACAGAAACGTTCCAACTATAAAGGCCGTGTTAAATTTTGAACTGAATAGAATATTTAAGTGGTTGTGTAACTCCAAACTGAGCCTCAATTTGAGAAAACAGTAAGCATGTTATTTGGCTCACACAGAATGTTTTCTGAATGCACCAAGCTGAACTTGAATGTAAATGGGCTAAATATATGACATGTACAATCTACGAAGTATCTTCGTATGTTGTTAGATCCTAGTTTAAAGTGGAATTTGCATATTGATGACATGTGTTCTAGGATAAGTAATCTCATACGCTTATTCGTTCGATTGCGTCATACTATTGATCTATCTATTATGAAAAATGTGTATAATGCCATTTTTCTTCCTATTTTTGACTACGGTGATATTGTACTAAATATGTCAACTCTTTACTGAAACTTAATTAAAACAGGGCATGGCGAATCATACTTGGAATAAATCCCTATATACATGTGTCCATCAGGGAATTACATGCTCGCTTAGGCTGGAAATCTTTGACGACTAGACGTTGCTGTCATCTGAATACTATGGTTTATAAGGCTTTGAATGACCTTGCTCCTCCGTATTTCAAAGTCTGCTTCCAATAAAATTGTCAATACAACTATTCTCTTAGGTCTCATGGAAACTTATTGTTAGCAAAACCCAGATTATTGTAAATGTACGTTCTCTTACAGAGGTGCTGTTCAATTCAATAATCTCCCGCGAATCTAAAATTCCCATGTAGTCTTAATCTATTTTCAAAATGGCAATTTGCCTTCGTCTCTGGTATCAAAAGCTGGACTAAGGATATATATATTTTTTTTTTTTCCTTTGACAATTTCTGCAAGATTTTTTTTTTTTTTTTTTTTTTTTAGTCACGTGTACCTCACTACAGAATATATATTTAATATTATAACAATCATCTTGGACCCCATGTAAGAACAGTCTTGTCTCTTTGGCTTGATTGAAATGGGTGTCTTTCCGATTTCATTTTGTCTTCTTCTTTTCTTTTTACACTGTATATTATGTTTGTTAAATGTTTATTTATATTATGTTGTAAATGTTCTGTATATATATATATATTGGAATAGACCAAATCTAAGTATATATATATATATATATATCATGTTTTTATTGTGAATTCGGAGATTAAAAAATCAAATAAAAATGAAAACCTTTACTATACCTTCAGTCCCGAATCATGACCTCGAAAGTAGTACCACGGCATCGTATATTGTCAATAATTTTTTCAAATAGCATTTATAATAAAAACACCTTTACGCTTGAGAACATTCACTTCCATCATTCTCCCCGCCAAATAATCCGAACAATAGAATCAACCGAGGGGAACAAACTGTTAAATGAATTTATCACGAGTTCTAAAGTATTGATTTGCTAAACATAAGAGAGAGAGACAGAGAGAGAGAGGGTATGGCCGGGTCCAAATTCAGTTTTCTTTCAACTCCCAGGTAACGCTACATCAAGTTAGTTTCACGGTGTCGTTTATTGTAAAGAAAAATATTCAAATGGCTCGGTAGAGACTTATGGACAAATAAGGATACTAATAAAACGTCGTTTCGTTTAAGACCATTAACCTCTCTCTCTCAGTGCCAAATATTCCGAACAATAGAATCAATCGAGGGGAATAGACTGTTAAACTAAATTGCCACGAGTTCTCAAATATCAATTTGCTGCTGCATGTCATATTGATATTGACGAGCAGCAATGGCGAACGATTGTCGCTAAAATTCAGCAATCGTTGTTTAGATTGCTTTTCCAAAAAGAAATTACCCTGAAACATCAAGCTACATAGAACTATAATCGACAAACCTGATAGTGTCTTGAAAACAATCAGAAAACATTAGAAACAGAATGAATAAGAGATAATGCAATGATGTAAATAGGTGCATTTTACCCATGTTGTTCTTCACTTATCAAATCCCCAAGTAAACCTCGAGCCAGATGCAAATTGAAGTCATTAATTCATGACATATTTTCTACTGTCATGATTATACCCTACACTTGTGTCCTTTTTAAATTGTACTTTATTTTAAAACTTGAAAACTAATCCTTCTTCTTTTCTCATGATAATATTTCATCAACGAATTAAGAGTTTTGGTATAACAATCAATCATGTGTACATGACGTATTGTAAAAGATCTTCAGGACGACTAAGGATCAGAACGATATCACTACTACTAGGCTTATTACTAAATACCCTACTGTCATTGATGATTACAAAGGATGATGCTGATGATAATAGTGATATAATAATATTTTTTAAAAAATAGATTCCGAAACAATAAAAATCATTCTTAGAAATACAGTTGTTTTTCATGTTGACATGATTCAATACATAGATTGTACGATTGATGAAAAAATGAAATCAGTTGTAACATTAAACAAATAACCCATCCAACCAAATACCCTTTTACCCCCTACCATGCGACACAAGACACGCACACACACACAAACACACACACACAAACACGCACGCACACACACGCGCGCACACACACACACACACACACACACGCACATACAGTTTTTCTGCTACAAAGAGATATTGCAATTTGAGTATATTCTAAGTGAACAGTAAAACGTCTTGACTAGACTAGTTAACGCCCCCCCCCCCACTCACGCTTTTTCAAGTACCCCTAAAGTGCCCCATTTTAAAAAGGAAACGTGCATCCTCTTACCTTATATAACTGTCCCTTTTTATTTCTAATAGTTGCCCCTTCCCCTTCTGATAAGTGCTCCTTTTCATCCTTGATAAGTCCCACTTCTCAATAGGTTCCCCTTTTCCTTTGACAAGTGCCCGTTTTCCTTGGTAATAAGTGCCCCTTTCCATACTCACAAGTGCCTCTATTCATCTCAGGTGAGTGCCCCTTTCCAGGTAATCAAGATCATTTCCAGAAATACAAGATCCTTTGCATCCCATGACTGATGCTACCAAAATAATTCTGGGCCCTATTCATTAGACTTATTATCAATTACAATTGCAAAAATGATGTTAAAAAAAAAAATCACAGCCAATTGACAAATGCAAGGACTTCAGTAGCATAGGCCTATACTATTATCAGACATTCCTCTTTGTCACTGATAAGATTTTATTATGGAAAAGGGACCGAATGAAAGCCTGTTGTTATTTGTAGTGTAATGTCGTTATTGTAACTACTTGAAATAAGACTAGACTTCACCAGATATGAAAAACGCCTATAAACTAAAACAACAACAACTACGAGACTGGGCCGTGTGGTATTTAAATGGTTGAACCTAGATCACGTCTTACCGCCGCGCCTGTTGACTTACAGTAATTGTAAGGTAGTGTATAACCACCACAATATTATTCCCATTCATACCATTTTATTTACACGGTGCAGCGGTGCCTTTCATTATTATCATATTCTTTTATATCCCTGCTCGACATTCATTCGCACTGTACGCCCGCATTATTTACTATACATGGATATATCACTGCCAAAGTTTGACCGTGACTTCTATTAGCCGCCATCTTGATTGCGTCTGCGGGGTCTGAAGCAGACAGGAGTAGCTTTATTGATGAATTAATCTTCTTCCGACAAATTTTTCATTATCGAAGGAGTCTCTACATTGTCAACGATCTCTTGGAATTTACATTACGAAGGTTAGAATAGCAGCTGGCGTCTAGCTTGGGTGAGATTGTATTATGTGTCGCTTTGATGTAGTATGCCAAATTTGGGATTTTAAACATGGAAGTGAGATTTTTTTTTAAATGTAAAAGGAAGAAACGAGTGTATGTGTATACTATGTAGTTTGAGGTGTATTTCTTTGTTTGTGAGAAGAAGTGTTAGAGGCAAACGGGAGGAGAAAAGAAGGTGATGTGATTTAATGATGTGGATGAAGCGGAATGAAGCAGTATATTTTACATCTATTTCTTCTATATAAACTGAGGCTTTAATAGACGTTCCTTTCTCTCTTCCCCCTCGTGTGTATTCATGTAGTTCTCATCATCTAGATTTCAATGTTTTTACATATTAATGACATAACAAACGTTTATTTTGTATTCATTAAAATTATTTCTCAAAACTCTAATTCCTTTTTGTACATAACATAGAAACAAAGCAAACTGAAACGTAATTAGAACAAAGGCTTATAACGTTATGCATGCATTGACGCCCGTGTTTTTTCGTGGCAGACGAAAAAGCATCTCTCGGACTATATGTATATACCGCTGTTGCGGCGGGTGATACTAGGAAGGCTGTTAATTCGTTGATTGAAAGTATCAAACGAGCTGAGAGTAATTACCTCACGGACTCCATTGAATCCATATCCGAGCTGGAAAAGAAAAATTCAACCCTGGATAAAGGGATGTCAGGGTCAGAGTTGGAGAAAGAGCTAGCTCCACTTCCCGCTTTAGCGGCATCGAATGCAGCAGTAATCAACACGGCTGAACGTTTCTCACGAATGAATAACATGAGCCTTGTAGGCTATCCAGAAGCAGCGGACCAGCGTGAGCAACGGCATCGAGATCACAGACGATATCGTTCACGAGAAATTCGAAATCAACAGGTCGAGTGGGCTCCTCGCGATGGAAAGCGCAAGGAGAGTCCTCGGCATATTCTCATCAAACTTCAGTCTTATCGGCATAAGATTGATATCATGTTAGAAGGCGCGCTCCGCGTTGGCAAAGGACGCTTTATTTTTCACTGACGACCACGCCAAAGATGACCTAACGGAAAAACGAAGATGCATATGGTCGGCCGAGGTAAAGAAACTCTATGATCAGGATGTGAAGCTGTGCTTTGCCGCTGAAAAGTGGCGTGATGGATCAGGTGTACCTTATGTTTTCAAAGTCTAATCAACCAACAATAGACGAGGTCATGTAAGGTTACGTTATACTACTTTATTTGCATAATTATTATTTTGTTACCATTTCTCTTCCATACATTTGCCAGGTTAGCAAGATGCCAAAGAAATCATTTTTTTGTTTATGATAGAGATTGAATGATCACATCCGTTTGAATAAAGCACTCCCCTCTTCCCTCTTTTCCTGTTCTACAAAAACTGCTCTTTCTACCCCCGTCAAATATTTTTTGATATCATCACATTGAATTCGAATTATTTGTTCATCACCTAACGTATGCAGATGGGCAATGCAGTAGTTTAATAAAATCAAGATTTATTTTTAACTGCTTTCATCATGCTATTTTCCATTTATACATTCTCAGGAAAAATGTTTAATTGTATTTACCCCTTAATGCATTTTCGTTATGTTGCTTTTAGCTTTTCTTTGCTCTCATTTCCCTCTTTCTATACGCTTAAAAAGGGACACCCTTTTCCTCCCTATCTCTAGCTTCTCTTCCCCCCGAGAGCACTCATCTGAGTAACTTTCCGAAACTGATCATTCATTTAATGTTCGCCTTAAAACGTAGTTAAAAAAGACTAATTGAATGATACGAATATATTCCCATTGTATATGTTACACGACGACGACTAATTACTAGTTTCATCATATGATTCTCATCGTTCACTTAATAATTCAAACGAAAGTGGTTCGCTTGCTGCTGATTCTCTAAATTTTGATGAAGCTTGCTAAGTCAGAAAACTTAGGGACTTGACCCCTTTGTATAATGTGTCGATCAAAATGACCCTGCTCCCGCACTCCCATTTTGCCGATATTTTACTATGAATCAGTCTATTTCACATTCTTCAGAGTTAAACAATACTTTCTCACTGGTGCACTTCAATTTTAGAAGCTTGATTAAAATATTGAACATATGAAATCCATTATATCTAGCCAACAGTTTCCATGTGCGAGTTTTAGGTTTGTCCGAAACATAGTTACATAATGAATGACCCTCACTTATGTTTTTCTAATGGGTATAAAATGGCCGTTAATAATTGAATAAATAGACGCGGTGGCGGAGTGGCATTGTACATTTCTACTTCATTAAACTACAAAGTAATATCCGAATTTAATTAATTTTCATGACAGATGCAGTTGAAGGCTTTATGCATAGAAATTACTGTTCCAAACAGGAAAAATATCGTGGTAGTAGTTGTAAATCGACCACTAAATTCATATCACGACGATTTCATTATTTCTTTAAAGACAATAATATCCTCAAATTATTTACGAGTTAGGCCTTCCTTTATTATGGGAGATTTTAATATAAATCCTCTTGATGAAAATACTAATTTATTCTGCAATGAATTTCTGGACATTTCGTCCTCGCAATCCTATATGTCTCTCAAAAATAAGCCTCCTCAAATAACAAAGACAACAGCCTCGTTTATTTATGTTCAAGCTATTTCTGGTATCATAATATCAGATATAAGTGATCATTTTCCAATATATTCTCACCTATCTTGCAATCATCTAAACCACGGAAGTTGGCTGGTGAAAATATTGATTAATTAAAACAAATCCCAAGTTGACTTGACTGGGTTGAGGTAATAAATTCTCGCGATGCAAAATTAAACATTTAAACTTCAAGTTTCTTGAAACCTTCACTCGATATTATGAAAGAGAATTACCCGTTCAAAATAAAAATAGGAACTCAAATTATAAAAAGATTCGACTTTCTATTCAACATGATGAGTGTCTGATTGTTGAATTTGTTTTATGTAATGTCAATTAGTTTTACTTACAATGTAGGTGTAATTATAGGTGCATTGGTTAACTTTTCCATAAATATTTGTTGTAATTTGCTTATCTATTTTGTTATTTATTGTTGTTTATATATTCAAATTTGTTATGATTGTGAAGCGCATAGCGAATTTTCCAATTTATTATGCGCTTCATAAATATTCTCTATTCAAAAGACACCACGATCTCCATGGATAACAAAATCCCTGTTACGATCAATTAATTGGAAAAATTAGTTATTTTACAAATTCAAGTCCAAGCCAACAGAGCCAAACGAAAACAAATATAAGACTTATAAAAATACCCTAGTTAGTATTTTACATTATGCAAAAATAGATTACTTCTTTAAACAATTTGAATTTCAACATTTGGAAGCTGATTGACCATGCACTAAGCATTGTGGTACTGGATGCATTGCATGGGGCAGATTAAGAGTTAAAAATGGAAACAGTAATAAGCAGGAAATTCAAGTGATTTTAGTAGGGAACACATGCTTTCAAGACCCTGCTTCTATTGCTGAGAGTCTCAATGATTACATTGTAAATAAAGGTAAAGATCTTGCACATTACTATACTGCACACAACTTTTATTTTGCCTTACCTAAATTATTATGGGATGTTAGCATGGGGAAATTCTTGTAAGACTTTACTCCCTATTGTGTCAGCCACAAATCACCCCTGTGCCAAGTTTATTTCAGGGTTGGTTCAAGTGCGTGTATTATAAATCCTCACTATGTTTGATCTACTGTAACTTCTCATCCTTATGTTGTATAATATGAAATTGCATATAAAAGCTGTAG